GGGAAAGAGAGGGTAATGCTTACAGTATTTGCATCACTGAACTCAAAGGATTTATCTAGCACACTGTGCAGACAGCAGTTTGTAGCAAAAGCTTCAATCATGAATTTCTGAAAACCCGGAACCTGAAAGCAAATGATTCTCAATTACAAAAGACGGTCCTGCAATATAAAGGGGGAATTGATAAAATTTAGTGAGTAATAACAAGTGTGTAAACCTTCTCCTCGATATTAGGGTTTGAGCACCAGTCTTTGATTAGCCTCGTAAATATTTGCACACATGCCTATTTTTTACAGCAAAGATTAAAGAAGAGGGTAAGAAAGTAAGACAAAATAATGACCCGAGTCGGAAAAACTGAAATGGAAAGGCGGGTGTTACACAAACCTTTCTTACAAGTATATCCTTGTGATAACAAGAACTGTACAAAAGCAGCTGCATCATCGGTTCTAGGTATCCCCTACTCTTGGGCGTTAAGAAAACCGAGGAGAGGTCGTGTGTGGTTATCACATGAAGAAATGTGTACAGCGTCCTCTGAAGTTCCATCAATTCCTGAGTTTCCTACCAGAGAGATTTTTATCAGCTACGGGCCTACAGCTGACATATTTCCGGGTGGAATGGAAACATACACAAGCATTCACTGGTGGAAAAACTAGAACGGAGATTAAGATTTCCAAAACCAGGAAAAATACCTCAGTGGTGGGGTCCCAGGATTCGATTGAAACCCATCTCTTGGAATAATGTTAAATATCCTACCAGCAATGGCAGGATACATTTCTTCAAGTATATAATGAAGAGAGGTGTTGAACTTGCAGATAAGCTGATTGAGTAATAGTAGGAAATCAACCATTTCTTTTGGCTGCAACATCACACAATCACAATAAGATTAGATTTCAAGCAAGTTACCAGTTTCATATGAAAGAAAATCCCATAAAGCAAGCAAAAAACAGAAGAGGACGTGTTTTATTAAGGTTGTTTATACCTCTCTTTCAGCAAGTAGCTGTTCCAAAGCCATGGGAAGGTAAGGGAACACAGAAGCTCCAAGGGTGTCGACCATTCGGTGCATGAAAGATGTGACCTACAGAGAGCATGAAATCAAACCATTGAATAAGAAAAATCTAAAGCACTATCACCTTTTCATAAAAAACAACCCATAAATATTAAAATATATCTGATCATTAACATATAAATGATCTCATACCTTACTTTTCAGGGTCTCGACTTTTGGAAACTCAATTACAATCCTTAGGAGCATGTCTAACGTCTACATCACAGAGAAATATTTATCAGAAAAAACATCACAGCTAAAAAAAATTGAAAGAGAAAGAGAAAGAGATCTCTCATAAGAACCTGCTTGAACATAAAACCGATTCTAGGACGACTTGCAGTCACAAGACGCTCGCTGAATCCCTGGATTTCAAATGCACATAAGAACATGTCAAGAGAAAGAAAAAACAAGAATACAGAGTAACAATATCTTAAAGATAGATAGATGTGTTTCAGGATAAACTTGGATATGGGAAAATAATTAACCGGATAAGCTCGGGAATTTGCAGCTGAAATAAATCAAATCCATTTCAAATGCATCCGGTATAGGAAAAAAAGGAAAGAGAGGAGACCTTGCTGAGAGCATTTATAGCTACCACCGCAGACTGGACATTAGCGATTTTCATGGGGAAGTCTTCGGGACTCGCCACTTTTGCCTGCATTAGCGATGACCCAATCTGGTGCAAGCAAATGGAAAGAGCATAAACCAATTTGGAATAATACTACTCCCCGAGAGTGTCATGTAAACAAGAGAAGAATAGGAAAGAAAACCTGCTGACAGAGAGGGGTGAGCAGACAAGACAGGTAATCTGACTGCTTTTCAGATGGCACATCCTCCAACCCGATGAGTAAACCAATCGCCTGCAGGAAGTAAGATTGATAGTTGGAGAAAAAGTTTAGTTGACAGAGCAGGGACATAATTTTTCCAACTAAGTAGACGACGAAATGATTTTAACTCCAGGAGAAACGGTATTCATAACCTCAAAAATGTGATTGTTATCTTCAGTTCCTGAAAGTTCTCTTGATGCAAAATTCATGCTCGTCAGCTGGGCAACTCTATCTTGGAGACTCTGATTGTTACCAAAGATTTATAGTTTAGGGAAACAACCAAACAAACAAACTAATAACGAAGCAACGAAAAGATCAAACAAGTTTTGAACTAGAAGGAAGCAGTTCCTTACCTGCAGTATCATGTCAATGAATGGGACGAGTTTCGATTTCAATAGTTTCGCAACTCTCATGAACAAATAACTAGCTCTACTACTCACATGGATGTTCTGATGGTGCAAACCTCTTTCATCAAGGAAAGCCCCAAGAACCATGGGAATGTATTGGGTGTTTTCTTGAATAAACTTCATGTATCTTGTTAAGTTTTCCAAGTAAACAAGTGCAACTAGCCTGTGAGAATGGCCGGGTAACCGTGTAGACAAGAGCATTAAAATTAATTCACCCAAACATCCAGAACCAGTTTTCAGTGCCTCATCGGTCATAGATTCTCCGAGTGAATAAAGAAGTGAAAGGGCAGCTTCCACTTCTTCGACATTTCTCTCGGAACAAGATTTAACAGCACTTACTAGTGCATTTCGGATAAAATGCTGAGTAATATCAGGAGCAACACGGCCCACTGTACGCAATAAGACAAACAAATCTTTTCTAAACTCGGACATTGAATCTTCCTTTTCCAATCCGATTTTATCCGGTGCATCAAGGTTATTCCGATACATGGGATCATAACAAATTTGGGTTCTAATCACTTCAAGAATCTGAGTAATGTGGAGCAGTTGCTTCTCCTTTAAAGCAGGAAGGCCTTTGAGAGTGGAAACATAACCCAGGAGAAACTGAACAGTGCTAAAAGTAGCATCCACTTCACAGTTCTGCATTACATAAAAAACAGATGGCAGGACTTCATTCAGCAACTCCATGGAAATCGCCTTGGTATCCTCCGAGTTCAATCTTTTGTGGCATTCTAAAACCTCGACGGCATATCCAGTCAGCAGAGCCGAAACTTTTGATACCAACTCTGAATCAACATCCTCAGACACTAACCCAAAAACACAGTTTATTTGTAGAGTCTGTAAAAGGGGGAGTTTTGATTGTCGATCCATTCCCTTAGAAACCATGGCCAATATACACCCAGCTGCTGCACTCCGGAGCTGATCAGACAATCCATCTGACAAAACTAAGTCAAACAGTAATGGGATAAATGCATCATTTGCGATCAATCCAATATCAATCCAAGAGACAAATCTTCTCGTGCAATCTAACACGGTGGAAGAGAGGTCGGGATCTGAACTCCTGTACAACGAGACAATGTCATACCATGCTCTAGCAATCTGAGGTATACATTGCTGCCTCATTGCATCCTTGACACGGGTAGCCACAGACATATCTTCAGGGGTCCGAGGACAATCCAAGCTAATCAACTCATTATCCAAAGCATTCAAAATCCGACAAAACATGTCGATCACAACTGCCCCTTTGCTCAAATGAGGCAGAAAATCAAGAAACACAGACGACCAAACCAAAGGGTACTCTAAACAGATCAAAGTAACCAAAACCTGAGCAAGCTTGTTTTTTATGAATGCCGGTCCTTCCCCAACTCTAACAGCACTCTCATTACCAACCAGCTCCAGACACGCCATCGAAAACGTTGATTTTCTTACATAACTCTTCTCGTCGGAGCTAATGGATCCATACTTGACCCTTATAACATCCTGCAGAGTCTGCAAGGACCAGAACTGAACTTGAACAAGGTTACAGAACCAGAGCTTCTCAATACATATACGACATATAGACGGAGTGTCCTTGATTTGCTGACAATAAGCAACCGCATGGGACTTTAACGCCGAATCAACAACACCCGATTCATCGAAACTAATCAGTATCGCCTTCTCAAGGTCATCCATTGCTAACCCACCAAAAACCCTAAAACCAAATCCTTAAATCTTGTCAATTTATTGCATAAAGTTCAACAAAGCTTCAAGACAACACCGTGTCCTGATCTGGAGCTCGTTCTCCTACAAAGGTCTCTTCCCGGATCAGATTCCGAGCCCGAAAACGCGAGTAGGGATTCTGAAGTTGAGTTCAATCACAAGAGCTTGCAGAAAAATATGAATCGTCGCAATAATGAGAAACTAGGGTTCTTGATTTTCCGGTTTTTGTGGCGATGTGGAGGAGGGAGAGGGTAGACCTATGCGGAGATTCTCCGAATTCTAGATCAAAGTTCTTTCCTTTTTCCGTTGTTCGCCAAATTTATAGTAATTTCCCCTCGGGAAAATCTATGCGAAGAAACTTGGCCGACTTTTGAAGGCGTTGTGAATATTAATATTTCTAATTAATGCATTTATTATATTTTAATTGTAAATATTCCATATATATACATATTATATATATATATATATTCACCAGCTTTTTAATGACTTGGATTCGATAAATTGGGCCTGACATTTGAATCGTTAAAAGCCCAAAGCTTCCATTTTTTTTTTATTAATTATGCGACAAATTATATTTCCATGATTTAATTTGATGGCATACCGTTGTTTAAAGGAACCCTAAAGCTAATACCATTGTTAAAGTATCAACTCTGAATTTCGAAAGATGAGGTGTGACCATTCCGGTTTAGTCATTCAAAATCAAATTGAATAATAAATAATTGTGTTACGATATATAAACCGATATGATATAATTAATTTAAATATCTTGTAAACAGAAAATTATCAAATACGAATCCAAACCAAAACTAAACCGAACCCTATCAAACCGACTATGCACTCTAAAGCATCACTTCTCTTCTACCCTCGCAAGTCGTCGTCATCGTCGTCATGGTTTGGACCCGTCGTCTTGAGAAGGCGGAGAAGAGGTCGAGCCATGATCACGAGGTCCGAGATAGAACATGCGTTCACGGATCGAGAGATGAACACCATCGGCTCGTCGACGTTCCTCGAGGACACGCTCGATGTCGATGCGATTCTCGTTCCAACGACCTATGCCGAGTCGCTGAGCTTCGTATATCTCTGCCGACAGCTTCCTGGCCAAAGCGTAGTGTGAGTCGGGCGTCTCCGGCAATTGTCTGAAACGACGATCCATTGCTCTTTTGTCTGACTGGTATCGAGTTTTTCTAATAGATAATTCGTAAGCATCGATGGGTATATCATCTATATATAGTGAGATGATGATGAAGAAGAAGAAGAAAACGATACGTCCTGATTGTTAAAGGGTTTGGAGATTTCCTTTTTCATTATATGGTTATATATTGTAGGATTTGGTGTCCGTAGGTTTCTCTCCCCTTTTAATCTATGTTTTCTTGTGAATCAAGGAATCTGATAAGGATATATCGTATTATGCTATGATTTTTACAAACAAAAATAAAATATTCTAATCTTTTTATATATATATATATTATAGTGAAGACAAACATGAGAAATATCTGAAATAATCTTTTAATCTTAATGATTGTATTTTGAAATATGTTAAAAACAGTACCATTCAGACCGATTCATATAAATGTTTCCAATTAAAAAAATAGTTTGTAAAATTTAAGAATAACTAGAGAATATAATTCAAAAGAAATTTAATCAAATATTTTTATGAAATCGTCAAAACGCTCTAAACAAACATTCTTGTCAATTTTTGGAAAAGAAAAACAAATACCCCAATAAAATTGCATTTATGATTAATTCAGGTTGGCTGACAAAAAAAAACAGGTAGGTTAATTTGTTTGGTGATTATTAGTTCCCATTTTTTTTTCTAATTGTTAAAAAAGCTTTTAATTCTCACATGTGTATATATATATATATATATGTATGGATTTATGTATCGAGTAAAGGTCGGAGGAGCACGAAAATCAAGACAAAGCACAGAGCCTTCAGAGAGAGAGACCAAACTCCAAAGTATGCGACGACAAAGCAACACCGCTACCATTTATGTCTCTTTTTATAAATATATATATAATAATATATATATATATATATATACGGAGCTATGATATTTTATTTTTGGTATAGAATAATATATAGTTTCCAAAAAAATTAATTGTATTGTCCCTTGATGCTTCATCTTGACGAAGGCAAGTACAAAGGAGTTACGAACCCTTGTGATTATTTTGCGCACTAATCATTATTCATTATAAAACGAAAATTTTATAGATATAAACCCTAAACATGAACCCATTAAATCTCTACGTATTAATTTCATCTTTAGGTTCAATGAATTTGTCTTACAAAACACTGTTATTCAAGAAAAAAGAAAAAAGAAACTAAGAAAATCATTTACACGAGCCGATATATCAAACCACCGTATGTCTATATATATAATATAGATATTATATATACACAACACTGCAGATAGATAGAGAGAGAGAGAGAGAGAGAGAGAGAGAGAGAGAGAGAGAGAGAGAGGAGAAGTTGCCCTGATTCCGTGTCGGAGAGAGAGAGAGAGATGAGTAAGTGGTTGGGTTTTTCATTGACACCTCACTTGAGACTTGGCGAAGAAGAAGAAGAACAAGAACACCAAATTGACGGCGGCGATGAATTCTCCGATCAACCTTTAAAAACTTCCCTTATGCCTCTCCGATCCGACGGCTCTCTCTTCTCCTCCGATCCCACCTCCCGTCCCCTTCATGGTACATATATATACATACCTATATATATATATATGTATGCACATATTCATATATATATAAATATATATATCCTCTACAAGATTAAGAATCTTGGATTCTTCCTTGTTTCTCTTGATTTTGCACTTTTAATAATTAACTCCTCGAGAACTTGGTATTTTTACCTCAAAATTACCCACTGATATATAAGCTCATATGGAAATTTAAATCATGTGATTCAATAAAGTGGTTTTGTGGCGTATCCTCTGAATTTATTGTCTTGCTAAAGTATTAAAATTTGAAACTTATCATTAATTAGTTGGGGGAATCGAATAATTTAATTAATTATACTTTACAATTACATCTAAGACCAGGAAAAAAAAAAATCCTTCTGTGTGTCTCTATGACGGTTTTTTTTGGTTGAAATGTGTCTATTATGTTCCTAAAAGATTTGAAATATATATATATATATATATGTATATGTATATTTCGTAAATTTTATGCTTTTTATTATGTGGTGATGAATTTGTTTCTCTATATATGTTTCTTTGTAGCGTGGAGGTATGATATCAATGTTAATCTTGTGGGAGCTAACGACGGTGGAACCAATGATCATGTTTCAAATGTTCATCATCATCATCATGAAGATTTATTGGGTTGCTGCCTCTCATCATCAAATCCTCAATCCCAACAATACCATAACCAAGCCGATGCCAATTGCACCAACATGTTTAACACAAACCCAAGTGACCTAATTCTCCATCAACAAACCCTAGTTACACCGCACCATTATCCGAGCGACCCGAGCCCGAGGTTGAGCTACGGACCTTTCGAGACCGCAGGCTCGATTTCAGGGTCCAAATCTTGGTTAAGTCAAGGCTCTTCTTCACTACCACTCTTGGATATTGCCGCTGAGGAGAGAGGTAATCCGAGTATTGATGATTTTACTATTGAAGAGGCTAATAATAACAATGCTAATGGCTCGATGTTGTCTCTAACCATGAGCCGATATGGAGATTCTAATGAGATCAATGGGACGATTTCGGACAACATTGGAGATAATGTCGAGCCATTAGTGATTAAGGGAGATGATTCACGTAAGAGATCGATCGGTAAAAGTCCGGTTAAAGAATCGATTCCTCGGAAATCCTCTGATAGTTTCGGACAAAGAACTTCTCAATATCGAGGAGTTACTAGGTAAGCTGTTTAATTACATATAAATGTGATGATAATTATCCATCTCGGTCCAAATAATATATTAAAGTAGTTAATCTCATTTCCATGTGAAAAGGCATTGATCGATGTGTCACATTTCATATAAAGATTATTAATGATAAAGATCTTACATGCATGTGTGTCATCAAAAGGTTTAGAGAGTAAACGTGCATGTGATCAACATGTTATAATTGGTATTTATATTTATAAATTAATGTTTTCGTATACGTATATATATATATATATAGGCATAGATGGACAGGGAGATACGAAGCTCATCTGTGGGACAATAGCTGTAGGAAAGAAGGACAAACGAGGAAAGGAAGACAAGGTGACCAAAGAAATCGAATTTAAATATTATTATTTTTTCTTATATAACTTATTTATTTAGTGAATTCGCGTCGCTTTTCCTTTTCTTGTTAATTTCCTACATATATTTCACTGACAGTTATACTGGTTTTTCATTTCATGTACTGTTTTATTGGCTCCGACACGTCTCTCCGCTTCAATCAGTTTATCTTGGTTAGTACCTTATTATATATATTTGATTATAAAGATAAGTAACCATTATATTATATGGTTTTTGAATATAATTTAAATATAAAGGACTATATGATTTGATAGGTGGGTATGACAAGGAGGAGAAAGCAGCAAAGGCTTATGATTTAGCGGCCTTGAAGTATTGGGGTCCCACCACCCACTTAAATTTCCCTGTGAGTTTGATGGTGACCCAACACGAACTCTCCCTCCCTATGTATATACATTATTATACAACACATACAAACATGTATAACATATAGTACCGTCGAAAATATGTATAACATATAGTACAACACATATAAACATGTATAACATATATATGCACACATACATGATACATGCATGCATGCATGACATGAGATTGATTGAAGTCATTCACACCACTAAATTACTAATCTATAGTGTAATTATATGAAATAATCCGAGCTACATGTATACATGTCTAACATATGGTACCGTCGAAAATATAAACAATAATATAAATGCCAATAAATTCCAATGGCGTTTGAACTAGAGACCGCAATGGTCTGTGTGGCATTATATAATCTGAGCCACCTTTATATATAATATTTTGTATCTAAATTTTGCATTTAAATTTGGCACGTGCATATTAGTTATGAGTGATATACGATAAATTAAATATAACTGTGAAAGAGTATAATAGAAAGGCATTTAAACGTTTGTGTGATGGAACACGAAAAACTAAAATGCATATATATATATATATATATGTATATATCAATGATTTCTTTTAATATTTATAGTCAATAATTTTGAAAGAAATTAAATAGAGTAATTGTGTAATAACATTTTGGATGTAAGTTTTTTTTAATAATTTATATACAAAATTTAGTTAATATGAAAATAATAAATTTTACGTTAAATGGCAAAACAACTGAAAACACGATGTAATATTCAAAACATATATAGTGGTGGACTATATATACACACACGCAGAGCCGTCTATTAGCATGTTCAAAAGGTGCGATGGAACATGGCCCCCAAGATTTATGGGGCCCCTTATTAATTAATAATTATTAATAATAGAAAATAATTAAAATTAATTATAAATGGTAACAACTTTTGTTATTATTAATTATCTTTATTATTATTAAATAAATTAAAATATTTATTTTTAACAACTAAAACCAAAATATATTATAATTGTTATAAAAAAACATTTATTAGAACTGATTGTTTCTATAAAATATATTAAAAAAATATTTATTAAAACTAATTAAAATATATTATAGCAGTTCATTGGTATATTATGTTAAATTAAATATATTTATATCATTTTTAAATAGTTTTGGAAATAATACGATTTTTAATTTTTTAATTTTATTTAAAATTATTATTTTTAAATTTATTAATTTATATAAATTTAAAATATGTACATAGCCCCAAAAATTTGTGAGACGGCCCTGCACACACATATATATATATAGATGAATGCATATAATTATGTATATTCAAGGCCATTATTTGTGTCCACATATATGTATATAGGATGATATAAAATAGATGTGCATATATAATCATTTTACCCCTAAACAAATGTGTCCGTCAGGTATATAATTATTTGGTTTTGTATCAATGATTTGTATATGTATATATATTTGTTTTTGAAATAATAACATCTAGATATGAAACTAATTATCGTTGCATGCAATATGCATGCATGCATGAATGCTTTGACGCTTAATTATGAGAAGGAACTGGAGGAAACGAAAAGCATGAACAGGCAAGAATTTGTAGCCATGCTAAGGAGGTAAATGCAAAAGTTCAATATTAATTTATCACACGTAATCAATATAATTACTTGAACTAATGTGTGTAATTTTCTTAAACATTATATTTAAATTTAATTAGTATATATCTTTAAAAAAATGTATTAGGAAAAGCAGTGGGTTTTCAAGAGGAGCTTCGGTCTACAGAGGAGTCACGAGGTTAAGCAGATCCATTATTTTTTTTCCCGCGGATTTTATTATTCTTACAAGTTATATCTTCGATATTTCCTTTGGTGCAGCTATATTTATAAATTATTTAAACTAAATAAATTATATAATGTTTTTTGTTAGAGGAAATTGACTTTTAAAATTTCGGGGAGGGGGTGATTCATCTCTCTTTTTTTTTTTTTTTTTTCTATTTGCAGCTTTAATATTATTCAATCGTTTCGAGCTAATGTGGGCAAGTATAATTATTTTTAACCTACACGTGAATCCACACTGTAGAATGGTCTCTGTGTATATATATATATATATATATACACACATGTACCTGGATCATGCATGTGTTGAGTTAGTACACAGGCACAAAAGCTATTATATATATAGACCTATTAGGGTTTAACATTTTTTAGGTGTAATTTTTTGGTTCTGTGAAAACTACGCGTATTTAGCCTTATATCGTTTTCATTAGGTTAGGATTTTAAGATTTGAGTGTCACTAAAAAAATAATTATTTTCCAAACAAATTTGTTTCGTTCGGAGTTTTTTTTCTTTTTTCTATACGGTTAGGATTTGATTAATCCGATTTTAGATCAAATTTATTTCCGATATTATTATGTATTTTTCATTCATTTTAGTTCGGTTACATATATATATATATATATATAAAGGTGTATATATTCGCACTTGAAAATAATGTTAAAGAGAAAAGCCATTGGTAATTATAATTGTAGGCATCATCAGCATGGAAGATGGCAAGCTCGAATCGGCAGAGTCGCTGGAAACAAGGACTTGTACCTCGGCACTTTTAGTATGATTTATCTCTCATCACTCTCGTATATATATATATATATATATATGTATATATGTATATATATATATATATAGCATTCGAATCGATATCATGCATTTTGTTTACACCAAACTCCTACAATCATGGAGATAATAATAAATTTTCACGCGTACGCAGGCACGCAAGAAGAAGCAGCAGAGGCATACGATATAGCGGCGATCAAATTCAGGGGCACGAACGCTGTGACGAACTTCGACATTAGCCGATACGACGTGAAGAGGATTTGTTCGAGCTCTACCCTCATCGCCGGCGACCAGGCCAAACGCTCTCCCACCAACTCCGGCGGCCATGACCACCGTGAAGCCGCCGGAGACTCGCACCAACATGATCATGATCATGACCACCATCGTCAGGATCAAGATCATGATCATCATGGTGAGACTATCCCCATGTTTGCTCTGTGGAACGCGTGATTCCATTTTGGCATTAACCTATGATTGTTTCGTTGCAATTCAAGACGTTTTTAGTCAGTATGTAGTACAGTATAATTTTATATTTACGGAGGTATCATCATATACATCTGTTAGTATGACCTTGGGTTATGTACGTATTGATTTTTTGGATTTCAAGTTTTTTTTTAAATTAAAATTTTCCTAATTAAGGTCGTGAATTTACAATTTTATTTCGTTGATCGAAACAAGTCAAAACTCTGCATAGATTGAGTGGTACTACAATGCAGGGGAGCCTTCAAAGAGCCGTATATATACACATATATGTATATATATTATGTCTTAAATTGCGTGCCCTCTTCCGTCTTCTTTTCGCGTGACTCTGTCCCACGTGCTTCGGCGGCGCGTGATGCTTCAATCGCCTCCTTCGCCGGTGGCATATTCTCTTGATTTTGAAATTTAAAGGGACTGAAATGTCTCTATATGATTAAGGAACATTATTATGATCCTTACATTGGTAACATCGAAGACTAAGGAATAAAAAAATTGAAATGATGCAAAATGCTATTCAGCCTAGTCCAAACACATAACTTTGTTTTTTTTTATTTTATCGTTTTCTGATTTTATAAAATTATATATTTAAGCTTTTATATATTTTTACTTTGTTTCCAATGTTATCTCGAGATTTTGTTTATAATTTTTTTTCTTTAAAATATATTCATATTTTTAAATTTCATGTATTTTTTATTTTATATTCGTTTTAAATTAGACTAGTTTTTAAAATTATATTTAAATTAAAATTCAACTATTTATTTCATCTCATGCATTGGGTTTTACATATATACAAATATCCACCGGTAAATAGATAGAAATCTCATTTTGGTATAACATAAAGATTTAGGGTTTACCTTTGTTTCAAAGAGTGGCATATATATATATATATATATATAATATGTATGTATGTATATGTCGGCACTCATGAAGGTTTTGTTATTAGGAGCTAATTTGGGAATTGCTTGTTGTAGGGTCATTTTGCTTCTCTCTCAAACATGTTTCCATCTTTGTGTTCATTCATTCAATGTCTTCGTCTTCTTCCTTTCACACGGTAAAAGGCTTTGTACTTGGTTTTTTTCCCTCATCATCATCATCATCATCATCATCATCATCACCATCATCATCATCATGATTTCCGTTCACAAAATGTTATTATCAACCTCAATCTAAAAAACGAAATGGAAATTACGTAGAGATATTGTTTATTGTTTTACATGTGTTGCGATCAAATTGTATATATACAAAAGCAAAACGTTTTCTAATCTTCGGATTTGAATATTTTGGCATCATTCTAATCAATCATTAATGCATGTGAAATGCAATACTCAAATATACGCCTACCAAAATTAATTAGTAGTGTTTACATTCATTATATTAAAAATTGGAGAATGGTGATTTAAAAACAATAGTTTTATTCAAATAAGAGAGTTTCTGATATTCTTTGTCATAATAAGAATTGGACGGTTGAGAAATATTACACTAATGATATATACATATCGTGGACTGTTATAGTTTGGATACGTGGAACCAATATTAATTTCATGAGATCGGTCTGAGTCTTTGCACATGAAGCATAATTATTCCATGCAATCCATTGACGTGGATATAACATGTATATATACGCTAACACTATATATATATATATATATATATATATATATATCCCGTTATCTGTATATTCTCATGATAAAACATACATCTTTCACAATTCACCTAAATTCATGCATTGGTATTATTTTATTTACAACAACACTAAAAGAATACGCTAAAAATATGGAAAATGATGGTAAATTATACGTTCTAGTGTCAAATGCAATTTACAATTCAAAATAGATTTATAATTATGAATCGGATTCATTACTATTTCCCTTTTTTTAAAAAACTCAAGAACATTTTTTTTTCATGAGATTAAGAGTTGGAAGAGAATTTAGGGGTTAGGGTTTATGAGTTGGAACATCTCGCGTGCTTTTTTGTTTTCTGACACTCAAAGCAAAAGAGCCGTAGCCTCCATTTCCGAGGCGAATAATTGGCCTCATGCTATGGTATCATTGTGCTTATATACATATGACACATATATATACACACACGCATACATTCCTATATATACGCACATATATATATATATATATGTGTGTGTGTGTCTATGTCTTTTGATGACTGCAAGTGTAACTTTCTTTGGCCCATACCATACCTATGGGGATTTTGATGATTTCCGATGTTCCCTTTCTGCATCTGCCTCTTGAATTCCAACACATTGCATTAATGAGTTCTGTGTTTCATCCCATCATCACCTCATTCTTTTTCCCTTTATAAAATTCTATAATATATACCACTTTCCAATCTGTTTTTTCCCTTTTTAATTAAATATGTCAGATATTTTTTTTGGGTAATATGATTATAAAGTTTATCAAAACATGAAATATGTAATAAGGTTTGGTTTATAGCTATTGAAATATGACACGATTAATATTAATTCATTCAAGTACGTGACGGATAATTATAAGTTAAATCCCCTAAAAAAATAAATATTCTCAAAAATTTAAATAAATAGATAAATTTTAAAACTTTTAAATAAATATACGAATTTTGAAAATGGTGTCGTATTATTCCATAATAAGGGCGATAATCAACCGTTACAACAATTTGTAGATGTGTCCTTGTAAGTCAGTCATATGCAAAAATGCCACGTCATGCCACGTCATACATATACACATATTATGTATACGTACATTTATATACATATACACAGATCTAAAATCTTATTGGGCCGGATCCTAATTGGGCCCAACAAACACGGACCCACGGATCTAAAAAGATCAAGACTTTCGTCGTCGTCTTCGTCGACGACCTCCCCTGTCAATTCTCTCACCGGTTTCTGGTTTCTCAGATTCGCTTTTCTTCTTCCGTCCATTTAACCAAACTTCAGAGATACTTTTTCACACTATTTTCTTTTGTCTTCTTGTTCGATCCGGAGTTTCAAATCCGACCTTTTGGTACCTTTGATCTTCCAGTAGAAGAAGAGGATCCAAACAAAATTTTGGTTTTTTTTTTTATAATTTCTGTTAAGTTTAGAGGGAACCCTTGTTGCCAATCTCAGATTTTAAACTCGTGGATGAGCAAAGGATCTGGAGGAACCCAGCTTCAGATTCCTGATCTCCTCCTTTCTTGTTCCCAAATCTCTCTCCAATTCGCGCATTTCCTCGAATCTAGGGCTCAGAACCAATCAGAGTTTCTCTAAGATCTCTATTACAGAGCTCGGTTTCAGCAAAGTCTAATAAAGTGCGTGCCCGTTCTTTTGTTTTGGCCATGGCACCGCCATTATCGAGCTTGACCCTCTTTGTTCTCTGCTTCATCTTCTTCATCTCTGCTTCTATCTTGGTCGAATCTCAACCTCCAGATTCAACCACTAGACCTCCCCCGCCGCCACCTCCTCCTCCTCCTCCTCCGCCGCCTCCGGAATCTCTATCTGCGCCTCCGCCGCCTCCGTCGCGGCCGCGATTCCCGCCTCCGCCAATACGGCTCCGCCCAGAAGATGGCGACGGAGGCATCCTCCTCCTCCTCCGCCGCCGCAGAAGCAGAAGAAGCTCAACACGGGGAAGGTTGTGGGAATTCTCTTCGCTGGAATTGCTGCAAGCTTGCAAGTGATGGTCGCAGGCTTCCTGCTTTTCAAGAGACGAGAGCTTCTGAAGGTAAAAAATGGACACTGAACCGATCGACGGGTGCCAAAGGAATTGGAGATTCGAAGCGGATGACGAATTCAGCGATCTGGGTATTGTCGGAAATCGATGATGGGCTTGCTCAGTTCGAACTTGGAAATCTACCGTCATTGTGAAGAGCATTGAGGATTGCTGTCAGGAGTTAAGTAAGCTCCATTTTGGTCCCACTTTTCATTTCGTTTCTCTGTAAATGAAAAGGTTTTGGTTGAATCCTCTGTTTTCCCGTTTTGGAATGAAATCTCTTTTCTCTCACACTTAGTTTCTAGTCAGTCATAGAAAATATAAATACATTATAGTTATATGCAGTTGAAGTGTTGTGATGAAAATCCAGTTTGATGCTTCAAACCAGAACTGTTCTGGTCTCAATCTGAACCAGTCGGTGCCAGTGAACTGAACTATTCACCATTAGCTCATCAAGCTTCGATTTTTCGGGTTCGTGAACAGAGAATTCTCTGTCTTCTCACTGATAAATCTTGTCAGAACGCAGCATCTGGTTGTGGCTTTTTGCTAAAAGATCTAAACTTTAAGCACTATGTTTACTTGGGTTCGTTCTTGATCAGAGACTTCAGTCTCTGTTCTCGTTATGTGTATGTACTGAGTGGAATCTCTTTGGAACCCACGTGAGGGAGGTCCTAAAATTTGGTATGGCTTTTTATATTATTGTCCAATCATACGTTCCTGAACTTTTCTAGATATCGGATTAGAAAGTTAGTGGGTCAGATTTTAACATAAAGCTATAAACTTGGAATTTTTGAACCAATTGAAGAGAATTCCATAACGACTGAAACAGAACAGTGGAATCCACGAGGATGGGAACTGACAAACTCAAAACACATTACATGATGTTCGCAGGGTTTGAACAAAACACAAAAAGGACGAAGAAGCACAAAGGGAAAGACCATAAAAGAAAAACAGGACAAACGATCTGAGTGGAAGAAACCAATGAAACCCAAGTTTTAACCAGTTCCTCCAAGAACACCCTTGAGCTTCTTGATCTGAGCAGCATCAAGGAAGGTAGTAGCAGCAACAAGCTCGGTGGGGAGACCGTTGGCAAACAACGCGAAATCGAGAATCTGAAGACCCGGGTTAGGGCTGCTGAAGCTGACAATGGCTGCAGCAGTGGAAGCACCAGCATTCGTCTGGAAATGAAGCAAGCCCTGTGGGAAAACCATCACCTGACCCGCTTTAAGCGTCTGAACGTAGACAGCGTTGGATGAGGACACGAACCCTGCGGTAATGCAGCCATCAAGGACATAGAGAATCTCGGAGGCACCAGGGTGAGTGTGCATTGGGATGACACCTTTAGGAGCAAGGTCAAGCCGGGCAATGGAGAGGCCGAGCCCGTTAACTCCAGGGAACTGAGCCACAAATGCAGGAGTGACCGCTGCATTTATGATGGAGGAAGTGTTTCCAGGAGTGGATAACCCGGTAAACACAAAGTCCGTGGCTTTCACGTTAATGGGGCGAATGCAAGGGTAACCCGAGGGAGTATCTGCGTGTTTCAGGTTAGCGACGCAGAAATCTTGAACAGCGGCATTGGAGAGAGTTAAGAGGAAAGACAAGAGGAAGATAACACGAAGCATTTTGATCTCTCTCGATTGGTTTCTCTTTAAAATTCTCAAGGGAGGAGGGAGAGGCTTTGATATAGGGAGGTTGGAGAGGAGCTGTGTGGTGAAGAATGGAGAGACGGTGATAAGCTTTCGCTGTCTAGACACTGCGAATAGGGACCATTCTGCATTTACGCAGAAGGGGAAACTGACAAAATGCTTCTTTTCCTTGCTTGCTGTTCATCACATTTGATGCTTTTTTGGATGATATAGACACTGATATTTGAGATTTCAAAAAGAGATTTTCGGGTTAATCCTCACCCGATGATTACGAAAACTGACAGCTAGTCCGAAAAACACCGTGTTTAAACACAGACAGTAAGCAAACAAACCAGATAATGGTTTGATAGATTTCAGTGGTGATAACATCAAGAACATCATAAAGATACAATCTTTCTCTTTTTTCTGATCAAACCCAACTCAGAAACTCAAGTAATGTTGCCAGAACCAGACAGTTAAACCCACTTCCAAGAAGCTCTCTCTGTCAATTCATGGAAAAGCTCTGACGATTTCGCCAAGTTGGCTTAGAGGGGGAGGAAAGAAGAGATAATGAGAAGAAGGTAACGTCTCGTAGGGGCAAGTGTGGTCCTGAGGAGGTCACATGTGAGCAGCCATAAGAAGACATTTTAGACAGCTCGAATCCCTCCGTAGATTCTCTGTAATAAAACCCTTTGTCTTGCTTATATCACCTCTGTGAAAAGAAAAAAAATTACGCAGACCGTTGGAACAATATGTGGATGATATGATACCATATGTATATATCCCCTCTTTAAATTTTTAAAAAAAAATCAACCAAATAGAGGGAAAAAAGAGCCTTAACACAGAGAACTTTTGAGTTATGATTATGTAATAAAGATTCAACATTCATTTTTCATGTAAAAATCTCACATCTCCATCGTGGGACCAATGAAATGATATAGAATTTGCCATTAATGCTTGTCACTATACACTTTTTTTTTTGTTAACTGAATAATTTGATCAATGTACATGAGTTTTGTCAATAACCTAAGGTTAGAATTATTATTTGATTTACCATTTTATCTGAAAATGTGTGTTATTCGATGTATACAATTTTATACATATATAGGTTGAAGCATCAAATTTGTTTTTTTTGCTAAAGTATCGGATTTGAAGGACATTTTTTCAAAAGTATAAAATGCAATTCCACACGTTCAACCAAAAAACAAAAATAGCCAAAACGTACTTTAAAATTTTCAATTTTAGAAAAACTATACCTATCTAATTTTTATATTAAATTCTATTTTTATTCATTTTTAAAGAAATTCGTTTTTATTTTATATTCGATTTAAATGATTCAGATTAAGTTTTTTTGTTTTACTTCTCAATATGAATTTTATATACAGTACAGATACATTCAAATTTTATTTAGTTCAGATTATTTTATTATACAACCGAACAGATACCGAAATGTCCACCACTATAGTGTAAGTGAGCACACACGTAAGCCATGCCAGTTTAAACGTAGCATGCGATTCGCCACGTTCAACCGGATATCAGAAAAACCAAATAGTAAACCGGACGGTTAAGAGCTCTTAAATTGTACCGAACCAAATACCGGGAATTCCTATTTCCAAATTTAAACCCACACAGAGACATTGCACTAGACAGAGAGGCGCACTCTTTCTTCTTCGCCACCTTTTGCGTTTCTGGATTCTTCGCAGAGATCGCCATTCCGATTCCAATGGCGCCCATGAAACTCATTCATCTCCTCCATCGCTACCTCTCGGTTGCTCTAACCTTCTTTCAGAGCATCATTTCGTGTTTGTTTGACGACAACAATCATCGAATTTTGCATTTCCTCGAATACCCAATCCTGATCAAATTCGTTGACGCGATCTTATCCCTATACTTCTGGGTTTTCTGCGATCTCCGTCCGATCACTGTCGACATCGACGGCGATTCCACCGTCCATTTCTGGGTCTCCGGCCACCGCAAATTCGAGCGGAAAAACCTAGTGATGCTCCACGGGTACGGAGGGAATTCGAAATGGCAATTCGTGCACCAAGTCGCAGATCTGTCGAAATCGTTCAACGTATTCATCCCAGATATGGTTTTCTTCGGGAAATCCTATTCGAAGAGGTCGGATCGGAGCGTGGAGATGCAGGCGAGGTGCGTAGGGTTGGGGATGGTGAAGGGATTGGGTGTGGGAAGGTTCTCGGTGTACTCGATCAGCTACGGTGGGTTCGTGGCGTATCGGATGGCCGAGATTTGGCCGGAGACTGTGGAGAAGGTGGTGATCGTGAGCAGTGGCGTGGGGTTCACGGAAGAGCAGAAGACGGCGGAGATGAAGAAGTACGGAGATCGGGATTTGTCGGAGATTCTCGTGCCGAGAAGCCCACACGATCTGCGGCTGTTAGTTAGAGCTTCCATGAACACCGGCCTCACGCACTTCGAGTGGGTGCCTGATTTCGTCCTCTCTCAATTCATCGCTGTGAGTACGCCTCCCCCAATCTTTTCATTCATTCAAAATTCGGCCCCCTGATTTTCGAATTTATCAAAATCAACACTTGATGGAATATGTGTGATGCGAGATTGAGTGCACCGATTCATCAGGCTTTTGGTATTTTTAGGTGATGTATGAGAAAAATAGGAAAGAGTTGATTGAATTAGCCAAGAACTTGCTGGCAACAGAAGAAAATCCAGATTTGCCTGCGATCAAACAGGTAATGGAGTTTTAATTAATTAATTAATTAATTTCGTCTATCTTTGATTTTATAGAAACATATTTTTCTCTCTCTTGTTTTATTGGTAGTAGAGTTAGATGTAAGTGGAAAAAATTATATTTCAGTTCGATTTATTTTTTAGTTTAATGTTTTTGTTTTATAAAAATATATCAATTTGATTTTTTTTAATCCAGTTTTGGGATATAGTTTGAGTTTTTGTTTCATTTGATTTTTAGATAATTTTTATATTTGATTTTGGTATGATTGAAATCTATGAATTTAATTTTAGAAGATGCATATTTAATTAATTTTTACATTGTATTCGTCCATATATAATTATTTGTTTTCCGGCTGGGTTTTTTTGGCATATACTGTTCGAAATGTGGGCCCCTAATTGTGTTTAATAAAGTACTATCTAGGGCGGTTTAAATTTAAATAATCAGGGATCCGAATTTTTGGGGACAGACTTAAACATGTTTTGTTTGTTTTTCTAAAACATGCTTACGTATACATTTTTACTTTCATTAGAAAAAACACAGACATTGAAGAGACATGTATTTGTCATGGCTATGGCTTTGTCTATATAAGAGGTGTTGATATTGTAACATATTAACATACATCGATATTTATTATAAATTTGGAGTGTCACATTAACAAATATCATGAGGGTTAATACAATTAGGGGTGGGTACGGATCGAATATCCATGATTAATATCCGTATCCGTATCCACACAAATACTCGAGTTTATTATCCATATCTGATCTGTAATTTACGAATATCCGAAATTTCGGATATTCGTAATATCACGAATATTTACGAATATTCGTATCCGATATAAAAATTATAAAAATTAAAATTAAAATTAAAGAATAATTTTAAATATAAATAAATTATATAGATCATTTATATTTAAAATTTAAAATTTAAAATTTAAAATTTAAATATTTAAAATCAATTTAAATATAAATATAATCATAATCTATCATGTACAAATATATTCGAAGTTTAAAATTCAAAAAATTAAACATAATAAATCTTAATATTCAATAAATTAAAGATTATAAATCTCAATTATATAAAATATTTCTTAAATATACCTACAAAACATGTAAATATAAATATTTTAAATGTCTATACCAAATTATTCTTATATTTAATAATATTATTAATTAGTACGGATCCGATCGGATATATCGGCTAATTCGAATTTGATATCCGTATCCGACAAATATTTCAAAATAAATATCCATATCCGATCTGTACATTTCGGATATCCAAATTTTTGGTTCGGATACGAATCGGATAACGGATCGTTTCGGTTTTTTCGGATATTATGTCCACCCCTAAATACAATACATTCGGTAATAATTATTTGAGATTATATATGTTTCAGGAAACACTAATTGTTTGGGGTGAAAACGACAAGATATTTCCCGTACAGTTTGCCCATGGCCTGCGAAGGTAACTCAACGAAATTAATATTCTGTTTTACACTTTTTGTGTTATTTATAAATATGAAATTATTATTAATTTGTATATTTTTGTGAGATATAGACGAAGATAGGTCCATATTATTAGAGTTTTGACATAATGTTATATATCCAAAATTGTTAAGACATTTCATGTCGTTTTGAACTATACAATATATTTTTTTAAAAAATCAAATTAGGAGAGGATTAACTATGATTTATGCTTAATCAAATGCAGACTTTTGCCAAACTCAAGGCTAGAGATTATCAAGGAAATTGGCCACGCAGTCAACATTGAAGCACCCGGTGCTCTTAATAATTTTATTATTTCATTTGTTTTAGATCGTTAATTAAACCCCGCTTCCTAATATTTACAACGAAACACTATGTAATAGAAATATTACATATTTAACATAAATAAAAAAATCGTGTATTATATTATCGTATCAGTATATCTAGTCTTATTATCCTCGCGCAACAGATTTCGAATTTCGATATGCTTGGTTATGGACAGGACTTAACTCTTGGATATTTTTTATACTCCCTCCTGTAATTTGGGAACTGAACCATATCCGCACGTGCGCCGTTCGTCGGAAGAATCTCAAATCTTCCGGAAAAAAAATCTAAAAAACTCTCTAAGTTCAACCTTAGCGTTAAACAAAACCCAATGAGAAATCGACACGCGGACAACTGTTTATTTTTTTTTGTTATTTGGCAAAATGGAATATTTCTTTTTTTTTTAACTGATACAACTGTTAAACGAAGCTTCCTTTTTTTTATTTGGCAAAATGGAAGATTTCCTTTTTTCTTTATGTATCCGAATCAACTTGAATAAATGATAGAATGCGTCATAATTTTTTTAAACAGAAAAATTAGAATTTGATTTAGAATAAAAAATAATCTTAAAAAATCGAAAATTTCTTTGAAAAAAATCTATAAATAAAAATAAAAATCAAATCAAATCAAATCAAACCAAATCAATTCGATATAATACCAAATGTTTTGGTCTATGCGTTACACCCTCCAAACCTTTGTCTGTAATCCGATTAGGGCTGTTGATATATCGCTAACCATATTGGCATTTAGGAGTAGCAGCACTGGGCACGAAGGAAACAAGTCCATATTCATAAAATCAAGTTTCTGCCATTTTCATTACAGAGTAATTGTTTTACAGCGGTTTCCAGACATAATAAACCAAAAAGAGACAGTGGAAACAGATACCAAGAAAAACACTTCCAACTACTTGGGAACAGGTACTTCCGGATCACAGCCAGAGCTCAGAGATTCATAAGGGACACGGCGGCACAAAGGGCAAGTGGTGTGGGACTGGAGCCATTCAGAGCCATTCAAAGATGCATCCGCTGTGGAAGACGTGAGAGCAAGGCATGTCGATCACCATGTCTGAATCCGACCACTCCTCCATACAGACGACACAGTTTGCAGAATCAAGATTCCTCTTCAGGCTTTGCGCTTGTTTCTCTCCTTCCTTCTTCAGCCTTGCGATCATTTCTTCTGGTGCTCCCGTTCCTCTGGGACCGTACACTACTTCTTCTTCTTCTTCTTCTTCTTCCTCTCCCTCCTCACATTCATAATCTCCCATAACCAAATCCCACATCCCCAATCCTGGTCCTTCCTCCAGTTCATGAAGATCAAACACAGGGGTTGCAGGCGACATCAAACCATCATGTCCTTCAGACAAACTCGATGGAACCAAATCGTAACAAGCATGTTGATCTTCATCCTCGGCTGCTGTTGCGTCTGTCTGAATGTACTCTTCCTCCTCTTCCTCGTAGTTCTCCATATCAACATCACAGGCGGCGGTATCATGATCTTCACGGAGAATTGTCCGAGAGAACCCATATTCACCATCGTCGTAATCATCGTCGGAAATATCATCAGGAGAAAATACGCTGTCTTCCACAACCTTTACGGCGAGTTCTATCATGATTCCCCCGTCACAATACTCTTTGAGAACAGAGGATATGCGCGAAGAAATAGCTTCTGAAACATCGTCTTCGATCTCGAAACGAACCCGGAGAGTGGCGCGAACGTCGGTGTCAGGACCAAGGTACATCTCCAGGTGGATCGCTTCGTCGGTGAATTCGTTGACGGTGTGAAGATCGCCGTCGCCCATGTCGAAAATCTCTCGGTCAGAGTACTCAAGAGAGATCTCGACCAGGGTCTGCAAGCCCAATTCCGGTCTCAGCTCCACCCTTCCACAATGTATCTCGATCTTCTTGTCGGAATCCATGGCCGAAATTCACGAGAACGAACAAAGCCCTTTCCCGATCACAGAGAATGATTTCTAGGGTTTTGCGCGGTGAGAGAATCGGAGTGAGAATTCGAGAAGAGCAAAACCCTAATCCGATCGCAGAGAAAGGTTTCGAGGGTACTACGCTTAGAGCAAAACCGGGTGGAAATTTCTTAGATTGAGAGACAGAGGCTGAAACTTTCTTTATAGGCACTTCGTGAGATTGGGATATAATAAAAAAAAAAAAAGAAAAGAAAATCTTCCATTTCCACGCAACAGAAAAAAGGAAACTGTGGTCAACAGTTCCACGTGTCGTGTTCTCATTGGGACGTTTTTTAGATTTTATTTTTTCCTGAAGATCAGGGATCATGAACCAAAAAGCGTCAAGTTCAGAAAGAGTATAAAAAAAAAAGTTTGTTACCAAACATATCGAAATTCGAAATCTATCGCGTGAGAAAAAAGACGATATGTTTGGTAACAAACTTTTTTTTTGATAAATAAGCCAAAAAATAAAAAAAAGTATAGAATTTTATCAAGAAAAATATATGAGTTTCAAATTTACTTTATAGTAAAGTTTTTTGCGTATAGCATCGACACTCCCTTTGGCAGCATCCAACTAATTCTTTTTTGGCATTCCCGGAAAAGAAATAAAATAAAACACTATATTATAAAAAAAAAAGTCCAAAATATATTGGGCTTATTAACAGAACCCGACATGTACAAATATCAGTAGATGTCGCCCAAATAAATGTCGGCCCAATTAATTCAGGCCCATGTACAATATCAGTAGATATTTGGGAAAAAAAATTTCTTCGCTTTAATGGTGTAGACCCAGCCCTAGTCACCTTCGCCATCTTCGTCTCTCTCGTCCGAGATTGGAACCGTTCGCATTGGTCGGAACTGAATTTATTGTACGGGTGTTCCAGATATGGAGTCTGAGCAAAGAGATGAGCTTGCAGGTTTCTTACAAGTTCTTCCTCCTGTGGAGTTTTGCTGCGTCTATGGTTCAGCTTTGCACCCGAATAACCACGACAAGGTAGGCGCTGTACTGTCTTGACTTGATCTGTCCGTATGTTACTTGCATTCCTGAATTTTCATTGGCTCACTGGCTTGAACAGTTAAAAAAACACGATCTTTGTTTTCTTTATAGTCTAAAATGGTGGACTACATCCTCGGTGTCTCCGATCCTGAGCAATGGCATTCCGAGGTGAGGCTAGGTCTAGAGCTATTCCCGTTCACTGTGATCTTACATGGAAACCCTTGTTTACTCTGTAGATCCTCATCTTCTTTTTACCTGGTGTTCAAGAATCTTAGAATGAATTCGGATCACTATGCCTCGTGGATGGTTAATCTCGGAGGGGCTAGGCTGGTATATCTCTCTCTCTCCCTCTCTATGTCTCGTGCAATTGGATTGCTGTTGCGGCTTTATCTCTCGACCAGAACGCTAAAAAACGGCTTCTTCCTTCGCTAAGATCAGTGGAGTTGCGGATAAAGTAGGAGTTGGAGTTCACTTCAATCCGTTTGTCACTTGGAATAACAGGGTAACGAGTTCAATTTCTGATTTTTTTTTTTATCACTTCCTAGTTCATGCTTGTGTTCTATGCTTCATCTGTTTGACTTTCGAAGAGGATGATCGCATTGGATGAAGAGTTGTACACTTTATTTCTTGCATTACCCATTTTTCTTTCTGAAGCTCTGTGCAGATGCTCAAGTATGGGGTTGTCCGGATGCATAATCTAGTACAGGACATACTGAACTGGGATAGATTCTATTTGAGTGGCCGTCTACAAAAACCGGTACACATGTTGTCCTGTGTTTTTAATATCTGGTTGGCTTGTTAGGCTTCTGAGGAAGTATATGTCTTGGTACAGGTTCATATTCTTGTAGATGGTGTGGACATAGCAAATGTGAACTCCGTTAATCTGAGAGCTGCAATAGCTGCAGCTCTTCTTCTCTTGCCATCAAACTTCACCGAGGTTGGTTTTTGTCATTAGCTCGGAAAATTCTAGGGCAAAGAAGACTTCATATTAATTTACGGAAATCCAATGCAGAAGGATCTCTATGCCAAAATATGTAGCCTTTCTTACATGGGTGACTTGCGCATGCTTTTTGCAGAGGACAGAAATAAGGTTAGAGCCAGTCTCATTTTATACACCTCACAGCGCAAATATCGCTATTAAAATGTGAAAATCTTGCGCGGTAATTCTGAAGCTTCATAATGATCTATATTGTTCGATTATCCTGCCTTTATAGAACTCCTGATCACTATTTTTATTAGTTCAAGCCTTTTTCCACAGGTAGAGAAGATTGTCCAGGGTCAACTTGATTTATTCCAGTCAATGTATAAGCCTTTTCTTGAAGAGTACGAGACCAAGGACTGGCTGCGGTTCACATCTTATGACAATAATGTAGCAAAACTATCTCAGGTACATAAAATTGACATTACAGTAAGAGCAATAGTCGGCATGGTATTGCCTGTGGCAAGAATTTATATCACCTTGTTGATGACTATGAAATTTTTTGGTTGCAGAATGTTATCATTCTCAATCTAGAGCCATTGATCATTTTCGGTTTTATGTCTAAATTACTTCTTCTGTGCCTTGTGATCAGGCTTGCAGTGTTTCAGCTACACGCTCTTTGGTCTCTTCTCTTCCTCCAGCTGTCAGAAACCAGATGGGGGCAAAGCTCGGGGAGAAGAAAATCTCGAGTGAGACCGGTATGAATTCTGATCCCTAGTTTATGCATGTGCCACCCATTCTTAAAACCCTCAAAAGCTGCTATATGTATGATGTGTTTAGACGAAGAACCCATGGAAAACGAGGGTTCTCGAGGCTCTTTTCCGATTTATATGCATAACACCCTGATAACATCTATATATGGATGTTGATGATGATGTGGAGAACTGTTGTTTCCTTACCGCAGGTCGTGTTTTTAGCGAGGTTTTGGTGGGATCAAGAGAAGAAGCTGCAAGATGTATGCAGAAGGTTCTTAGACGAACGGTTATGGTTTCGAGCGTGAGACAGGCAGTGTCTGGTTTCTTGGCTGTTGGATTTGTCAACGGCACAAGATATCTTTCTCAGAAAATGCGGAAAGCTTGGAACTCTCGGAGATGATCATGATGCCAACACTAAGATGCAGATGAATAAGTTTGAATAACCTTCCATGCAGAGACAGGGGGACTGAATCTCTTGAACAATCTCAAGTTTTTGCCATAACTGGTTGCAGGTTTGAACCACAAGAGCAAGCATAAGTTTCTGGAACGTGTCTCCACAATGTGTTTATTCGTTTTTTTTTTTGGGCTATTGCTGTTCAATTTCAGTTTGGAGAATGGTTGTTTGTATGGTCTGAAACACTATTTTGGGGTATAAATGAAAAATCAGTTTACCCTCTGATTTGGTATTCTGTAAGTGTAAGATAACCCAATAGTTGTATTCAGTGAATAACAAGGATTAATTTGCAAAGTTCAAAACTTTTTGTCAATTTCTTGTTTAATCTAATTATAATAAATGTGGCGGGGTTTGGATTCAGACTATGTTGATTGGTAAAAGAAGAACAAGTTGGAGAATTTGATTAGAGAGAGTTCCCACTCCCTTCCCTCGCAAGTTCCAGAGGAAATCCCATAACGCCCCAAAACAAACTGTTAAAGACAAACCAATACAGACTCTAATACTAACTCCAATACAGATTCTGACGCACAGTCTCCACTTCTCTTCACCCAACTCCTGACTATTCCTTAGCACATAGACTCGCAGTTGCTTATCTTTCCGCAATCTTCAGCACTTCTGAAGTGGCTGCTGACCCACTCCGCACCCCGTTAATGCCCCCAACTCCACCCGAAAACTCTGCTCCCCTTGCTGCACAGGTTTCATCGATGACTTGGACGAAACCAGTGAGGTATGCAAATTAGGATCGCCTTTAATGGTCACCATCGTTTCCCCATTACCAATACCAAACTTCATCTCAAGACACTCAAAATCCATTTGTATTTCTCCCATTGTCCTTAACCACTGCACTCCCAAGATAACGTCGGCACTACCCAACTCCAGATGTAAGAAATCCGCCACAATTTCCAGATTCTGCAGCTTTAACACCACTGCTCTACAAATTCCCTCCCCCCTAACTGCTAAACCTGTTCCCAGAAACATATCATAACTGGTAGTGTTGACAGGTTTAATAGACAACTTGTCAATTACCTCCACCGACAAAAAATTATGTGTAGCCCCGCTGTTTATCATCACCACCACCTCCTGATCCCCAATACATCCCTTCATCTTGAAAGTTTTTGGGGACGTGAGGCCTACGGCTGAATTAATCGATGACTCAGCTCCGTCATGCATCTCCAATGGAGGAACTAAGGGCTGACAGTGTAATTCATCCTCCTCCAACAATAACTCTCCCACCTCCTCAACCAAAATGACCCGTAGCCCTTTATTCTTACAACGATGCCCAACATAAGATTTCTCGTCGCAACGAAAACAGAGACCTCTCCTTCTCTTTTCGTCAATTTCCGCTTCCGTTAAACGACGAAAAGAACTTCGTTTCTCTGAATGTGGCAACTCATCAGAGCCCTGCTGCAAACCATTTCCTGTTACTGCCGCTTTGATATTGTCCTGCCTATTCCCTGAATTCCATTGGTGGCAACCAGATGAGTTATGAGGATCACCTGACTCCACTCCCAAACCGGTTGACCACAGCCGACGACCCTCCAGCCGCAAAGACATTGAAATAATATTGTCGATTCCTTGAGGCTGGAAAACTCGTATCATATCACGAATTTCAGGTTTCAATCCATTCTTAAAAGCGCTCTCCAGAAAATGATCTGGAAGATCTGTCATCTGCGACACTAATTCTTCATACTCCTGCAAGTATTCTTTCACCGAACGAGTTTGCTTAAGCGAAAACAATCTAGTACACACAGTACCTGCTTGCACATCACCGAAGCGTGCAATCAAGCGTAATTTGAAATCATTCCAATCACGAAATTGCCTGCGAGTGCTCTGCCAGTTGTACCATGTCAGTACGTGGCCATCGATGGACATATAGGCCAATCGAAGCTTTTCTGCGTCACCACAGCCACCGAGCTTGAAAAAATGTTCAGCTCTAACAATCCAACGGTTAACGTCGAATCCTTCGAACAGTGGTATCCCACGTTTCTTCAAAAGCGATTCGCAAATTCTCGTCAACCTGCGCAATCGATCATCCTCATCGGATCTATGATCATGTGATGTTGCCGATCGAGCCTTATCGGCTATTTTTGTTGCAGATTCTCGGTCGACTGGAGCCTGGCCAACCGCCGCACCTTGTTCCTGACCCACACCAGCCTTCAACCCCGACTTCGGCTTCGATCCTGACTCTATGTTCTTCAACAGATTGTATATTTCCTCCATTTTTGTAACAAGTTCCTTCTGAATCGCTGCTTGCCTTGCTTCCAGCCGATCAAACCTTTCGTGAATCGCATCTAGCTTTCCAAACTTCTCAGTCACCGTTTCCTCCAGCTGCTCAATCCTCTGTCTATTTGTCCTTGTCATGGCGGATCGGAAAATGTGCTCTGACACCGATTTGGTAGGGTTTAGATCAACAATCTGAAAAGAATTTCAGATCCATAAAAAAAGAACAAGTTCCCACTCTCTTCCCTCGCAATCTTCCTAAACCCTACTAAAACCGCCTTTAATATTTCTCACCCCATAACTTCTTAGAAATAACAAAAAAGACCCATATATTTAATTGATATAAGCAAACCCAAAATCACTCCTTTAATCGGTTTTAATGCATGATCCCCTCCCTCAGCGCAATGCAAGGAGTTCTCGCCCCATCTGCACAGACTCCATTATCCATTGACAAGAAAAAAACAATCACATTCATGGGTTCAGAATGCAATTCAAGACACAAGTTACTGGAGATGGATCGAGAAAGATTTCTTACCGGAGAAGTTATTCCCGAGCTCGAGCAATTAAAGGACCGAGCTTTCTCGGTCGTGTGCTCGGTTCAAGAACCGGGTGATGTGCAGGTCGGAGCGTAAAGACATACATTCTCTGTTCACATACTCTTCTTCAAAATGTGTTCTAATAGGATTCGATTTAAATCAATCGTATACGAGAAAATAAAATAAAAGATTTGACAGATGAATTCAGTATTCGAGTATTGTTTAGATGTTTTGATTCTCTCATAGCATTCATTTGCCTCACTGTCTGTTCAGACAGTGACATAGAAGTGTTAGTAGGGGTGTAAAATGAGTTCTGGCCGCGGGTTGACTCATATTCTTCTGAGTTGGGCTGAGAATAATTGAGCCCAGAAAAAAATGGGTCAAACGAGCCAGCCCATCACGGGCCGGGCTTTCTCCAGACCAAGCCCAGACGTGAACGGAGTTCTGCCGGCCGAGACTAGGACCACATCAGCTTCCAGAGTGGTCTGGTCCCCTCCATCTGCAGGTTCTACGGTGAGCTTCACACCTTCTCCGGAGGAATCTACCGCTATCTTATTTAAATTTTATTTTTAAAATTATATAATTGGTCCGCGGGCCGACTCGTTTGGCTCGCGGGCTAAGGCGATCTGGGTTGGATTGATATATTTTTTGCTCGTTAAAAAACGGATTGGGGTGGGTTGGGCTAAAATTTTCTCGGATCGGAACGAGCCGGACCGGGCTGAGCCGGGCCGGCCCGTTTTACACCCCTAAGTGTTAGAAGCATATAGAGGTTCTTGAACAATGGGGAAATCACCCTTACAACTATGTTCTTTCAAGAGACTGAAAAGGACAAAACTGAACTTCCTACCACACACGTCCCTTGCTACTGAAGAAACGGCACGAAAGTCTCTAGAGAAGCGAAGCGATTTAGACACCGTGCCGTTTTACATTCGTAGAAACAACACGATGTTATGCCAGATTAGAGGGAAACGGTAGTGACAACGGGTCGGGTTTATAAACCGGGTCAAATTTATTCGCTCCGGATGACTGCTTCTCTTACCTCGATCTCTTTGGGTACAGAGAATCACAGTGCGACAAAAATAAAGTAAAATAAAATTTACAGGAAAAAAAAGGAAGAAGAACATTATATATTCCCTCAAATCTCTCTGTCTCAAACTGTTTGTTTGCAGAGGACAAGAAGATTCCCTCGTCTTTTCCCCCATAACCCAATAATTCTGGTTTAAAATCTCGGTAAAAAAACAGGAATCTTGTTTTTTCCCCGAGAAAATCTATCCCGGGATGGTTTCTGCTTCGAAAGTGAGGAAACTGAATCAGGAGAGGGCAAACCCATTTCTTGTATCTGCCTATGGATTTTCAATCTGTTGAAATTTTTTGCCTTTCTTAGGGTTCATCGACATATGCTTCATACATATTCTTGATTCTGTTTGTGTTTTAATTATGATATTATGTATTAATTTGTTGGGTTGAAAATCATTTCAGAATCTCTGTGTAACAGCTTTTGCTTCGTTTTTCTCTATCTAGATCTCTTTTTAGTTTGATAACAATACAATTTTTTTTTTTTACTGGATTCGGTTATGGCTTTTTAGCTCCAGCATGTTGGATTCTTGTCCGAAATTGAGTGTTTGAGATTGAAGATGTATCTGGGCACGTTGTACTGAAAAGATTTTTTTGCCTTGGGGGGGAGTACTTGGATCTTCTGTAAGATCTAGGGGGCTTAGAATTCTGATCCAAGTCAGGGTCAATGGATGGTGAAAAAGAAACAGTATGAACAGTATATTGTGAGTTTTTCTCTGTCAACTTTTTTTTTGGGGCCAAAAGATTTACCTTTTCTGTGTCTGGTTTCTGTAAACCAATCCTTCTTTTTCTGAGACAACCTGTTTTTTGTTTTGTGTTTTGTGTTTCTGAAGTGGTTGTACTTGTTGCATTTCAGGTATAAGATCAATCAAGATTTGCGTCTGGCTCAAATCAAGATGGAGGGAGATGTGTTTTCTGGATTTGGAGAGAGATACCACATTGATGGCAAGCTATTGCAGAGCTTCCAGAAGAGTTTTGTGCAAGTTCAGGACATTCTAGATCAAAACCGGCTGTTGATCAACGAGATCAACCAAAACCACGAGTCCAAACAACCCGATAACTTGGGTCGAAATGTGGGTTTGATTAGAGAGCTCAATAACAACATCAGAAGGGTGGCCGGCCTATACGCCGATCTTTCTAATTCTTTTGCCAGATCTGTTGATGCTTCATCAGAAGGTGAATCTACCGGGACCTTCAAATCCGATGGAAAGGTCAACCAGAAGAGATTTAGATCCGGGTAATACACCGAAACCATACTCCGTTCTTGTAGATTCAGAGCTAATTGGTTGTGGAGTAAGAATTTTCATTTTCTTATTGAATAGAGAAAACATGATTTGTGTATTGCTTGAGGTTCTGAAAATGTGCCCTCGTTGTAATCTCTGTTGAAACTGCAACTGCATATGTTCTTCTTCACCTCTGAGATTTCAGACAAATGGTTTGGTCTTCATTGTTATTATCCTCACACCCCATTGCAGATTCTCATTCATCACTAGAGCCTGTAATTTATATTATCATCTGTCTGGATGTAGATAGATTAGATTCCTTGAACAACCTTTCAACAAAAGTTTTTCTTACATGGAAGAGATGCTTTGGTAATCAGTGGAAGCAACTGTTGAACCAAAATACCCAATTTGGGGATTAGAGTAGTAATGCATGATTTTATCTTACTGTTCATTAAATTAAACCTATGGCAGTAACTTTATAACCTAAAGAAGAATCAAAACAAATGGCAAAAATGAAAAAGCCATTAAAAGATGAAGAACCTTTTGCCCTGTGGTTGCTCTGCATGCTTCATGTTAGTCAAAAAGACAGCAGAGACTCCTAGTTTTAACTTTAGTTAGGTCTTTGCCTCTCTTTGTCCATTTTCACAAGTTTCCAAATATATATATATATATATATATGTATGTGTATATATCCACCAAGCTTTTTATGGTTCATGTATTGGATTATGTGTTTGGAGCAAAGATTTAAGAATCTTAAGGGGAGGAGGTCCCATGTGGTTAGAGTTGATGTCAGCTGCTTTGATACTTTGGCTTATTAATGTTAGAGCTATATATGGTTTGAGTTCGTTCATCGGTTCACTCTAGTTTCAGTTCTGTGTTTATTATTTTTTGTCATACGATATTTTCAACTGTTATGATGTCTCTATCATATTAAATCTGCTATTCAAACCTTTTTTTTTTATGGCATTTTCATTGACGTAATGTTAGTTTTTATGGGTTTGAATAAAGCGTTTTAACATTTATTTTTTTTATCATTAATAATATATACAATTTTTAACTGTAGTAAAATATTCAAAGAATACCTTTTTTTTAATTAGAAAGTAGTTAAAATATTAAAAAAAATCTATCAACTTTTAAAATAAATTTGTATAGATTTTTTTACAAATCATAAAATAATTTTTGAAAAAATACAATGTTTTTAAGGGACAAAATTGTTTTACAAAACTATTTTATTATGAGATAAGAAAACTTATTTTTATTTGAAAAAAATCGTTAATAATCCTATAACAAAACAACAAAAACAATTATGATTAGAAATCGGTAGGGTTGTGTAGACGTACTTAAAAAACTCATCCAATATAGGACATGCCACGTGGAATATAGGTGAACCAAATCATGGATCGACATAACTATCAAATCAAATTTAAAATGTTATCAAAGAATGCGTATTATTTAAATATTTGAAAATTGTTGCAAAACCATCACTAAGTAATTCATTAGTTCTTTTTTAATTCTCACTTTTTCTTTATTCAAGATTAGCTCAGAAAGATGCATTTATTTTATTATAAAATGTTATCCATTCGGTCCGAAACAAATTGGTTAAACATTATAATATATGATGATAAGTACGAAGTATCAAATTGCATAGTGCTACAATTTCATTGAAGCAGAAGTAGAAACCAAATACCATTGCACTAAACCGATATAGAATCACTGTTATGAATCCGGTCAGCAAAAAACCGACACTAGAACCACTGGGATAAAGGTAAAACCAGATACCATCCCGGATGTCAATCCAAAGCAGATGTAGAAACCAAATTCCATTTCACCAAACCAAAATACGGTTATAAATCTGGTTAGCATAAACCGATACTAGAACCACAGGGATAAAGGTACAAACCAAATATCATCCCGGTTATCAATCCGGTTAATATAAACAGATACTAGAACCACAGGATATGAGGCTGAACTTACACAAAAGCTCCGTGAATTAGCCTGAGCAAATACCAAAACCATTGCATAACATTTACAGAAAACTAACCTAGCAGAGCCTAGTCTCAAACTTGAGAGTTATGCCCATACTGAACAACTCCTGACTCAGTAGCTTGGCTCCATAAGGAACATTGACCCGAACAATGTTGTCGGCTGAACCACAGAGCTGACAGTACGGCCCTCGGATCTTGTGGTTCCCGACAGCTCTCTGGATAACATTGGCCAAGCTTTCACATCTCCTGCAGATATACATCTCTGACGAGTCACTGAGAGTGAAGAGACGTTCGTGCAGGTTGGCTGAGGCGCCGTGGGCTAATAAGCAGTCACGTTCCATCTCTCCAAACTTAATGCCTCCAAACCGTTTCCTATCTGCAACTGGTTGGCGGGTTAGCGGGTGGACCGGACCCGTGTTCCTGAACTTGACTTTGTCCTCAGCCATGTGAACCAGCCGCTGGTAGAACGTGGGACCGATGAATATAAGAGAGCGTACCATTTCTCCTGTCCTACCGCTGTATACTCTTTCACTCCCCCATCTCGAAAACCCGGCCCTACAACCAGAAAGTATATGTGAATATAGTCCAGCAGGAAGAACTGGTGAAGAAGAAATGAATCACAAGTTCTTAGAAGCTCGGTATGTGATAATAATCACTAATCATATACACAAGGTGCTAAATTCAGACCAGAGGCCCGAGCATTTGATGCTGTTTTTCACACAGCCTGGCCCTAAGCATTGCAACTGTTTCATTTTATTTTATGTTTTGAGTTAGAGTTGAAACAGAATGTGAAAAATGTACCTGTGAAGCTGATCGGTGATATCGTCAACAGTCGGAGTGGAGAAAGGAGTAGCGTGCCTCGTCAATTTTGCTGTACTCCCAACAGTCTTGCCCTTTGTTTTGACACCACATGCAATTCCCTTGGACAAAGCAGCCTCTAACAGTTGACCTGGGGTTTGCCTTGAAGGAAATGCATGTGGGTTTATCACAATATCTGGAACTATTCCTTGTATCGTGAAAGGAAAGTTCTCTTGTGACTCCAGATAACCTAAAACACCCTTCTGACCATGCATACTGGAGAATTTGTCTCCAAGACACGGGGAACGAACCTATATCATGCCGGATATAAGAACCGATCAGACGAGTACCGGATAATTCAAAGAGATACACATAGTTCAAAGTCATCTTTTACTTTTGCTTTCACACGAAGGTGATAAAATATGAACATAAGCAGACAACTCGAAAAACACACACTTAAAATTGTCATCTGGAGCTTACCTGCCTCAGAGAAACTGTAGCAAAGTTTTTCCCATCATCATTAGACGACAAGATGACTTTTTGAACCATTCCTCTCTCAGTGTGCTTGAGTTTTATGCTGTGATCAGCCCCTGACTCGGCACATCTGCCGATGACAATGTCACCACTCTGCATATTTGCCCCGATGAAGGGGAATCCATCATCATCAAGGCTGTCGACACGACCAATCTTGCTGGCAGTCTTCCCAAAGTATACATGGTCATCCAGCTTCTTTCTTTTCTTCTCATCCTTGGTATCCACCTCGGCTTTATAGCTCCTAATATGCTCAGTCCGGAACATCCCACGTTCCAACGACGCCTTGTTCATTACAATTGAGTCCTCTTGATTGAACCCAAGATGCACATTCACTGCAACTATGGCATTCTGACCATTGTATAAGACCTCTTTTCCAAGACAATCTGAGGCCAGTGTCCTGAAAAGGGGCTTCTGAGGATAGAAGAGCTGATTAGACAGTGTATCACATCTGATACCAGGGTTTGTCGTGGAGAAACCAATGGCCTGTTGACAGTGTTTCTGGGACTGGTACAGAACTCTCCTTGCGTGGTCATGATTGGCAAACGGAACAATTCCACAGCTAACACCTAGCAAGAAAGACATGTCTAATTCACAGTGTGTATAACCTTTGGACATTCCAACTTTATCTTCCTTCAGAAGGTGCTTGATCCCCCATGCCGTGCGGCAATCTTCTTCTTCTTCAATTCCAATCAGCTCAAGAATCCCTTGGTCTAAAAGACGCTGGAAGGAGTACTGTATCGGTTTGTCCTGCTTCAACTTGTGAATGTTCTCTATAACCAGAAGAGGTCGAAGAATTCTCCCAGCATCGGTGAAAATTCTTACTTCTTCGTCGTTTGCATCTCTCTTGATTTCCATCTGCAATAAATGTCAAATCCATTAAAGCAATCTAAAGATCAGAATTATCAAGATAGCCAGAACTAAGACGACTCCATTTGTGAATCAGAACAAATCCATACTACATACAAACAGCATGAGCAAACTGTGATAAGAAAGGATATATGGATAAACACAAATGGCAACAAGCAAATTATACCTGATGAGGTAATTCCTTCTGACGCCGCCTACTTCTCAACTCATAGACAAAAGATTCAGAATTTGCACTGACTCCTACCAAATCTCCATTCAAAAACACTTTATATTGGCCATGCAGCGATGAGCTCGTGTCATTCACCAGCTCCTCCATTCCACATTCAAAAAGCACTTTAAGCACAGGAGGCTCCAAGATTTCAGTGCTAACAAGTCCCAGGAGGGATAAATTCTTCACCAGACCACAATTCTCTCCATCAGGGGTCGACAGAAAGCAAACCCGGCCCCAGTGAGAAGGGTGCCTATGACACACATCAGAAACCACTCAGAACACTATTCAGTTGATTCTGCCAAGCATGTAAACTTTCAACAGCGTTTCTCAATATATAAGCTCTCAAATTCAAGACAAATTAAAATGGATTACCTTGTCAATGTAATCAAATAGATATTCACCAGACATTGTCAACACAGCAAATAAATTTAATATATAATAAGGATACCATCTCTACTGTTTTGAGATCAATAGCTATAACAATACCTGGGACTGCGCAGAACACAAGCAGTAACTAGCATGAATGATTTGAAATGAATACAAGTATCCGATATAGCAAATTGAAAACAACAGCAAATGCAGTCCATATAGTGCAAAATTTTGAATCAAGCAGCAGTTGGTGTATATATCCTAAAATTCACTTACGGATATCTTGCATCTCCAACCTTCCCATTGTATTGAACCTGTTGTCGTGTTCTCCTAAGATCAATCAATGACTGCAATGGATTTGCTCGACCTAGAGTTGCCACAACGCCTGAAATCCTTTCCATCTTCTTGAAAGGATGAGACCAAGCTCCAGTTGAGAAAGCTCTTGTTAGTCCATTAGTGATAATGGAAGCATCCAAATATTGCTCAATTTGCTTCAGATCACCATCTCCAGTCAGGTGCCTCTGCATAGCCTTGGTCATGGTCTTTCTTGCATGTAACAAATGCACCCGTAGCTCTGTCTCTAACAATTCTCCTGCCAAATCAACCCTTTTGTTCCTAAAACTGTCTCTATTTTCACATTTTCGTTTCCCACAGTAGGCAAGTAGAAGGCACTTCACCATGTAGCCCAGGAAACGTGCTTTTTGCTTCACACCTTTGAGACCCGGAAACATATAGAGGCTTATGCACTCATCCGGGCTTTCACCGGGAGGAAATTTTGTGTTTTTTATTTGATTTCCTACATATGTTATAGCATTTATCCCATGCCTGAATCCTTCACCGACTCCATCGGCATCACGAATAGAGGCCAAGAAAATGTTGACTAAGCTTGCATAGTGACAGCCACAATCAATCAGATCAATGATTTCTTTGTCTGACGAGACACCCAGGGCAAAGAACAGGATCCAGACAGGGATATCCGTTGACAAGAAATAAACAGTAAGAACTTTCTCTGTTCTGTTAGAATTTTCCGATTTCGGGGGCTCACCTAGACGCACGATGAGTCTATTTCTTTTCATTTCTGAACGGTAGGCAACTGTCCATTCTGGAGTACGGGAAACCCAGAGTCTCTTTAAACATATCTGCTCTTGAGCAATAAACACCTGCAACAACACAACATACTGATCTTAGGAACTTGACAGAGCAGATTAGCAATATCACTGGATGGAATAAAAAAATATAAACTATCAACAATGTTAATTTAACATGATAATCTTGCTAACGAACATAATTAGGACACCAAGGGGTTGACACTCAGAGAGAGCTATTTGGATAAATGCAGGGGCATTTACAGGAATGCAACCTATCAGAAAGATCTCATAATAAAAGTTGCACTATAATGAACGTACATAAAGTGTCAAATTCATTCAAGTCCCACCTTCTCAGCGCCCTTTATCACAAAATAACCCCCATGATCAAAGGCACAGTCACCCTTCTCGTCATCCTTCATGTGGCAAAGATCTGACTTCACCATCACTGGAATCCGACCAATCGGAATGTCCTGTTTTTTAACGTCTAAAACTTTCTTCTCAACGAACTCATCTTTTCCTGTCTTAAATTTGTCTTGCCTGACAACTTTCCTCGTAAACACCTGTCCAATTAAAAATTACAGGAACATTAGACGATAAATAAGTCCACAAAGCTAATAACATACAAGGAAGCACATCAAACTTTATCACAAGTTTAAGGCTTGGGAAACCGAAAGAGGCAAATAAAATTTCCCGTACAATCAGATCCCCAATTTAAGCACACTTAGAGGAAGACCACAAGTAGTAAACAACGAACACATTAGAGGGTGCACTCAGTTTACACGCAACTACTGCAGTTCGAAACGCCTATCCACTAGCAGTGAATATAAAACACACAAGATATGTTTTGTTACCTCAACTTCGACGTTTACTTTCATCCTTGATGAGTACGTCATGTTCTGAAGCCTAGCATGCCTTGGAAGAAACTTAAATTCCTTGCCATTTGCGAAGAATGTAGGCTTTTCAACACTGACTTCCCCAAACCTCACCGAGGCATACCGCCAATCATGGTCTTTGTTCTTTGTTGGATCAAACGAGGGCTCAACGATCATTTCACCTAGTGAATCGAACAGCTTCTGGAGCCCGTGTTGTATGAAATGGTTGTAAGAATTGATCTGGTGGCTTATGAGCCCATACTCATTGAAGAACGACGTTGCAGCTTTCCTGCAGAAGTCTTGGAGAAAAGTTTCCCCAAACTCAGACACACTAAACGGCTCACAATCGTCCATCATATCATCCACATCAATATCCATACCTGATGAACCCATGACCCTGCAAAACATGAAAGACCCAGAACCGGATATCAAACAAAATTAGGTTACAGAGTTGTGAAAACACGAAATAAACATGTAAACCCTATGCTTGATCGCAAAACCACAGAAACTCGAAATGCATGTCGAACCCTAGAACTTTTCCTGCACATAGAATTCTCTACTAGAACGCCAAGTGTCGATACAGAAGCATGATGCGATAAGAAGGGGTATATACTTCATTTTGTCCAAAAATTTGAACCACAAACACAGAATCAAACCTAATTTCGGAAATGGAGGAGCGGTTTTTGCACCCGGAGATGACGTAGTGAAACGTCGGCGGAAGAGGAGGACGAGGAGAAAGAGCGGAATCTCACCGGCAAGTCGGCGACGGCGACGGAAAGAGAGTGAGGTGACAGTGGAGGAGTGGCGCGAGGAGAGACAAGACAGTGAAAAAGTAGAGAAAAGGTATTCTTGATATATAAAAAAGGAAGTCCAAAGGAACTTTTTTTTTTTGTTCTGCGTAGCTAATTCGACAGAGATGGTGATGATATAATAACGATAATTAATTATTTTTTTGTTAAAAACGATAATGAATTATTTTATGTTATTATTAGCATTTGGAAATTTATGATTAGATCATGCAAAAGATTCCTCTAACATTTTTTTTTTATAATCCAGAAGTTTACGTCTTTGCTCTGACTACATCTCCCCTGCTCTTTCACCACTATATCACCCAAATTTTGGGTATTCCTCCTTGACATTACAATAACAACAGTGAATCATATTATTAAACTTTCTCTGTATAAATATTATAACGTTATCAACTTAGAATTGCAAAACTTTCAATAATATATTTTATTATTATGGATTTTACATAATTTTCTGAATAATGATTTTAAAATTCAATGAGGATACTCCAAATTTTCGGATACACAGTTGCACACCATAATTTTACAAATTTTTTTGACATTTTGAATTGAATTTTCGTAAAAAAAACTAAAATTATATATTCGCGTGAAATGTTTTGGGTTTTTTAGATATGGCCCAATAGTAGTGTTGGCCCACAAAATGGATACCCTTTCGGCCCATTGTCCCCAGCTTGTAAACAAAAATCAGTCGATTTTTTTTTTTTTTTTTTGCCAAGACGCAAACTCTCGATCGCTCTCTCTCTCTCGCCGGAGCCGGAGGGTCGCCCTGAGATCGGCTTCGCTGAATTCCACGGTGAGTAGCTCATCAATATTCCAACTTTTTTCATGCCCAGGTATCAATTTTGGCGCTAATTCACGAAACAGATTGCTACTAATACATAGCTAGTTATCCATAGCTAACTAAATCTCATGTCTTTCTTTTCGTGTTTGATATTCTGGGCTTTTGTTTGATTGAATACATGTGAGGATTAGCTATGGTTTCTTTTTTTTTTTTCTCTGGAACTCCAATGATTTTTTTTTATGTTTTTCTCTTGGTCGATTTCGTCCGGGAAGCTATGTTCTTGCTCGTAGTAATGCGTGTGGATTTTCTTTCTTTGGGGTTTGATTTTGGATTCTTAATTGTGTTCCTCGGCCAAGTTTGAAATTTGGACGTATTTAATTCTCTCAATTGGTGATTTTATGATCTTCCATGAATCGTCTGTTTTGTCGTTGCGTTTTCTGATTCTAAGATGATTTTCCATGTCATACTCTGTTTTTCCATCTCTTTGAAGCAGTGGTAGGAGCGGCAACTGAAGCAGAAATGGGGATCATCGAAAAGATTAAGGAGATCGAGGCCGAGATGGCTCGGACTCAGAAGAATAAAGCTACAGGTTTTCTTTACCGCTCCAGATTTTGTAGAATATAAGCATAAGAGTTATCAATTCCATGTTAATGTCTGAATACTAGGGTAATTTTCTTGTCTCCAACATGTTAGTGGATCTTATTTTCTGAGGGATAGGGATACACATTCGACTCTTATGTTATTTGTGAATTTCAGAAGATTCAGTATGGTTGTTCTGCAATGATGTCTGGCTTTCTACTGTTCTCGCTTTAAAAAAAAAAACTTCTCTTACAATATCCCGACTGTGATATTATCATGGAGAACATGATCTATATAACAGCTGTTTATGGGTATAGAAACTATAAAAAGTGGAGATTTCTGCTTTTATCCTTTTTTCCCCTGGGCCAATGTTTGTTCAAATAAGCAGAATACTAATAGGTATTGTTCTACTTGATGGACAGAGTATCATCTTGGTCAGCTCAAGGCAAAGATTGCAAAGCTTAGGACACAGTTGTTGGAGCCTCCCAAAGTAATGCAAGTTCCTTTAAAATTGTCATCAATGAGTCTAAGCACATATTCTTGGATCATCTAAGGCTTTGTTTACGAAATGTGTAATACCTTAAGGAAAAAGGAAAAGCCATGGACTGTGTGAATGGTTGCTTTGTTGACTGTTCTCTCAATTTAGCACATGTATTTCTGAATTTAATTAATGGGCTGTATACCGCATGTATCTAAAGGACAGTATTAAATGTCATTTCTTGCCTCTCATGGCAGTTGGCCTTTAGTCTGTAACCTTTTTTTTTTCCTGAATCTGCCTTATCAGGGTTCTAGTGGAGGTGGGGAAGGTTTTGAAGTTACAAAGTATGGTCATGGACGTGTTGCACTAATAGGCTTTCCAAGGTTAAGCACCTTAATCTAATACTCAACGCAAAACCATGTATATGTGTCTTTTTCTTCTTCTAAAATTCAGCTGCACCCTTAAAGATCTCTAGCTTGGGCATGTGGAAGCTAATGGCTGTGGTTGTAAATTGCAGTGTTGGAAAATCCACGCTTTTGACCATGTTAACTGGCACACATTCTGAAGCAGCATCGTATGAGTTTACAACACTTACATGCATCCCCGGAGTAATTCACTACAATGACACAAAAATCCAGCTGCTCGATCTTCCTGGAATTATTGAAGGTGCTTCAGAAGGAAAAGGGCGTGGGAGGCAGGTTGAAATCCAGCTACTTTTTTTCTTGTTATTTTGAATCTGAATCCTTTGAAAGACAAATTTTGGGCACACAAATTGATGTTTTATGATGTAACACCTTATGGAAACGGTGCTTTACTTCTACCATTTTCTTACCAACCCAAAAATATCATTATAATTTAATGAGCCTTGATTGAAACTGCTCATTTCTCAGGTTATTGCTGTTGCAAAGTCTTCTGATCTTGTGTTGATGGTTCTTGATGCCTCAAAAGTAAGTTTTATGGTTTAGCTATTCATGAGAGTAGTGTTTAAGTGTTTTTGTTGTTTTCGCTCATGCTACTTCTCAATGGACCTCACTCTTTGCTCTTCTAAAATGGTTTAGAGTGAAGGCCACAGGCAAATATTGACCAAGGAACTTGAAGCAGTGGGTTTGCGTCTAAACAAAAGACCTCCACAGGTAAGCTCATCTTTATCAGTGATGCATGTTTCAGATATAGCATCTAATACTTTGGACGCTTAGCCCGCACAAACTTAGCTTTCTATACTGGTACTAAGAAATCCTTTTCATTTCTTTTTTTACCTATTTTCATGTCGTGTTAAATTCTGCCACCTGTTATCTTATGTCTTAATTTCTTAAAAGGTTTTCTCTTTGGACCCAAGAAATCAACATCTGGTCCCTGTTATCCTGATAGAGCTTGGCCTTTTGGGGCACTGCTACTTAAACCCAATGTACTTTTATTTGAAATTTTGATTTTTGTTTTCCTGGAACTTAATTTCATATTGCCTTTACCTTTTTCTCTTTTTTCCACAGATATACTTCAAGAAGAAAAAGACGGGGGGAATTTCTTTCAACAGCACGATGCCCTTGACTCACATTGATGAGAAGCTTTGTTATCAAATTTTGCATGAATACAAAATTCATAATGCTGAGGTACTCGGCTCCAACTTTAATCTAGTTGCAAGTCATCCTGGGTTAACTGTTCTTGCTTGAGTTGGGAGTGGGATTCTAGTAATTATCTGTTTGGATAGAAATTCAATTGCAGTATTAATACGAAAGTCTTAACTTGGACATAAGCCCTTGCTGAATTTGTTAAAGCTTTCTTATAGCACATTCTGCTGTCATGACGGGCTTCTTATGAAATGTGCGGTTAATATTATAGGTGCTATTTCGTGAGGATGCTACAGTGGATGACCTTATTGATGTCATTGAGGGCAACCGGAAATATATCAAATGTGTATACGTATATAACAAAATTGATGTTATTGGGATTGATGATGTGGATAGGCTAGCACGGCAGCCAAACTCCATTGTTATCAGCTGCAATCTGAAGGCAAGTTCTATTACGTTGACGAAGACAATGGTTAATCGTGTTTCTCTAGATCTGTAAGGATTGTGACAACGAAAACTCCAATCAAGTTCTGTTCTAGTCTCATCATGATGGTTTATTCCCTATAATGGGAGAGCTTTACATTTTAACCATATTCTGATTCCAACATTCTAGGATTTTCGGAACACTGACCTAACGGTGATTCTGTTGGTCGATACAGCTGAACTTAGACAGACTACTTGCAAGAATGTGGGATGAGATGGGACTTGTGAGAGTTTACTCGAAGCCTCAAGGCCAGCAACCTGATTTCGAAGAGCCCTTTGTCCTCTCAGCTGTAAGTATATTCTTTTACTGTTAGTTTTGAAACTTACTATTGGACCCGTATCTATAATTCATCTTCGAAAATGAAAAATTTTGTAAGTTTATCTCTGCCATTGGTTCCAAATCTGTCATTTATCTTTGATCTGTCATGTGATTCTGCAGGATAGAGGTGGCTGCACGGTTGAAGATTTCTGTGATCATGTCCACAGAACTCTGGTGAAGGATATGAAGTATGCACTGGTTTGGGGCACTAGTGCAAGGCATTACCCTCAGCATTGTGGTCTCTCTCAACGTCTTCAAGATGAAGATGTTGTTCAGATCGTCAAGAAAAAGGTTTGGATCCTGTAAGGCTGTAACTGTATAGTAGACGATACATGATATTGTCATGAGATGGTTGCTAAATCTATGTTCTTGCTTGGTCTGTGGAATAATCCAGGAGAAAGAGGAAGGAGGCAGAGGTCGATTCAAATCACATTCAACAGCTCCCGCAAGAATCTCGGACCGAGAGAAGAAAGCTCCTCTTAAGACATAAGAAAACACAAGTGAGTTCATCACAGCACCTGGTTCGATTTTCGGTGTTGTCGTTGTAGTTTTTCGACTCATTTTTTTATGAGTTGAATCCATATATATACTCGATCGAGTCTCCACATTATGTTCTACTAGTAGAATTTCTATTTGCATTTGGATTTAAGTTTTAATATGGAATGAATCCGAGAGTGATCTTTTGCCCTGAAATATACAATCATTCTGATGATTTCTACTTTTCGAACGCCAGAGGTACTCTGGTAAATGCGACCCAATTCAGAATCTGAACCAGTCATAAACAAAATGGTGGATGATCTGTGAATTGTTGTTGGGAACTGATTTAGACATCTTCCAAGGTTCATGTTCTTGTCAGACAAGTCTTTTGGCATATGCGAGCAAGACCAGTTGTTTGAGAAAAGTTTAAACGACGTAACAAGCCAACATTTGAGTTCATGTTCAGACTTAACAAACAAACAAAAACCTATCTAAATTACAAAACCTCGACTTCAGTTCTCTGTGGCTTTGTCCAAAAGCCAAAGAAAAGACCTTCAGAAAATGGCCTAAGTGGCCAAAACGATCTATAAGTTCACATCATCACCCTCGTCAAAGTTTACTCTCTAATATTCATATGGTAAAAGATTACACAAGTTGTTTTCCTGTATATCTATATTTCGTGTGTGTTCCCAGGAATGGTTCCATACAGATAGATAGACCAACAAGCTGTTGAAGTGGCTGAAGCGTATTTCCGGTCATATGATCACAAAACCCATCTCTTTCTAGTTTCGTTGGCTCTTCACCCATACCCGTCTCCCGGATACCAGATTCGGTGGGTATAGATCAGTCCACTGGTTGCAGGAGGGATCTGAACCAGCATTGCTCTTTAGATCTCCATTGTAAGACACAGACTGTTTCTTCTGGGACGGTGTTCTTGGACAGGATGGCCCAGATTGCCTCTGCTTGGCTTTGGTGGATTCTGTCAGGGTCATGTAACTCGGCTTTCTGTAATAACCATCCTCCTCGAGTAGACTGCCCGAGTATAAAACAGGGGACAGAGATGTAGACGAGGTTGATGTCTCAGAGCTCGAGCCAGACAACAGAGGAGGAGGCTTAGCAAGAACTCTGGTTGTGAGATTGTTCTTCCTGACATGTACAGTGTCATGTTCAGATACGCTGCTCTCGCAGCTTTTCCTCGACAATGATGCCAGTATACCTTCTGATGAGTTAGTGAGCTCCCATGGCTTGGTTGCCACCCACCGGTCAAGCCAGTTCCAACCCGGACTGCTCTTGTACGGCCTCTGCTGCTTGGAAGAAGACCCTCCTTGTTTGTTCCCTCTTGCATTCGGGCTTGGACACGTTCTCGACTGCCAAAACCCGAGTAAATCTTTACACAATCAGTGAAATCCCTCCCATTTATTTTGTTTCGATTCTTTCGAAATGACATCTTCATCTTATGTGCGTTACCTGGTGCGAGAGGGCATAAGCGATGGCTCTCTCCCTCTTGATAGCTCCTTCTTGCTTCATCTGTAACTTTGCTCTTACTTCATTTACACTTCCAGGGCTATCGCACCAACCCTTCTAAACAAAACGTCACAAGAGAATGTATATATACTTAATTTGATATAAACCCACTGCATTCAGATCAAAATCAAACATAGTGTTTTATCATTACCTCGGCCTGCTTGGTGGGATCTGTAAAGTCAGATACATTCTGCAAATCTTGCCCATCAGAAGATAATCTGTTTGCATGAGCTCGGACACGAGCTTGAACACGAACAAGAGCTTGCATACACCTCAGCGTCACAGCCGCTTGTTTACGGACTTGTCTTCCCCGAAATATTGCCTGAATTCTCACTACAGCTCTCAGAGCTCTCAACGCCCTTCTTGCCTGAAAGATACATACGAGAAAACATAAAAGCAGGATTCGACACGACTTTTTGCCGGGTTTGCTAAGGTTTTTGTCAGATTCAGACAAAAAACAAACGAAAAAGACAGCGGATCTGAATGACTTTGTAATCGGTGTCTGAAAACAGATAACAAAGAAGCAGTAAACAGTACCAAAAAGGCGCGGAAGGCGGCTTGGATCCGTGTGGAGGCCCACTCACGCTTCACCACCAGAAAATCCTTGGGAGGAGCTCTGATGACTGCAGCTACGGCCGCCGTGAATGCCTCATCGGCGGCAGAAAAAGATGGCGGATCTGAGCCCAGAGACGGAGCTCCTTGGCTGCCGCCGCCGATGCGGTACCTGAAACCCTTTGAAGAAGAAGAAGATATGAAGCTCTCCGATGAAGTCCTCCATAGCTTCCATTTCTTCTTGCCGCTCTTATCACTCAGCTTGTCCTGCAAACAGAATTACGGAAAACAATGTATCGATAATGTGGGGGGGAGGGGGAAGAAAGAACGGGGATCGGACAGGAACGGAGAAGCTTTTGATGGATAACCTGATCATCAGCGGCGGGTTTCTTGTGAGATATCAGAGATTTAATCCAATTTCCTGAACCACCCATCTGCTAAAATCGAGACCTTGCTTCGCCAAGTCTATCAAATTCGAAACTTTCGCAGCTTTTGAAACAGATCAAAACAAAGATTGCGAATTCCGAAGCTCAGAGAACAGAATCGATTCGAAAGTTTGAAGCTTCGAACCAGCTCAATTGCCTGAGAGAAGAAAGCTGGAGATAATAAGACAGAGAGAGGGTTGCTGAGAGAAAATAAAGATGCAATGTAAAAAGAGGTTATTGGGAGAAGAAAGGGGGAGAGAGAGGGAGGATGTTTGAAATTTGAAATGGTGATGGATGGAAAACAATTTTTTAAAATTAACGGTAACATTGACTTTTCGCTTTCGTTGTCACGATTTCGATCCCATGCGTCATAATGTTCCTGAATTTATTATTTATTACATACAAATAGAGAGAGAAAAAGAAATACAAAAAAAAACCCACATATCAATGATAATTACAAGAAACCTCCAAACTTTTTTATTTCTCAAATTTGCCCCCCAAAATCTATACTGGAAACAATTAGACAGACATTTTGTTGAAGTTGTGATTACACCCTAATGGGAAAACAGTAAAACGTAGAATTATGCAAATGACGAAGCGCAGAGTACGATGAATCAAAGCAAGCATTTTCCTTATTTATCTACACGCATGAGTTCTTCTTCCTCCACCAAAAGAAAACGCAGTCAAGAAAACGTTCTCGAAGAACAAACTTTTGGAAAAGTAAGGATGATTGTTCAGAAACCACCACGGAGGCGGAGAACGAGGTGAAGAGTCGACTCTTTCTGTATATTGTAATCGGACAGAGTTCGTCCATCTTCGAGCTGCTTTCCGGCGAATATCAGCCTCTGTTGGTCGGGCGAGATTCCCTCCTTGTCCTGAATCTTCGACTTCACGTTCTCGATCGTGTCCGAGCTTTCAACCTCCAGTGTTATGGTTTTTCCGGTGAGGGTCTTCACGAAAATCTGCATTCCTCCACGGAGACGCAGCACCAGATGCAGCGTCGACTCCTTCTGGATATTGTAATCAGCCAGTGTCCTCCCATCTTCCAGCTGTTTTCCGGCGAAGATCAGCCTCTGCTGATCCGGGGGAATCCCTTCCTTGTCCTGGATCTTGGTTTTGACATTCTCGATCGTGTCGGAGCTCTCCACCTCCAGAGTGATCGTCTTGCCGGTGAGGGTTTTCACGAAGATTTGCATCCCTCCCCTGAGACGGAGGACAAGGTGGAGGGTGGATTCTTTCTGGATGTTGTAGTCAGCGAGTGTTCGTCCATCCTCTAATTGCTTCCCCGCGAATATCAACCTCTGCTGATCCGGAGGAATTCCTTCCTTGTCCTGGATCTTGGATTTGACATTCTCGATTGTGTCCGAGCTCTCAACCTCGAGCGTGATGGTCTTTCCAGTAAGAGTCTTCACGAAGATTTGCATCTGCAAATTCACACAAAAACATCATCATCATTATCTCAACGTACTCATCAACAGAAATGGCTGGAAAACAGACGACACAGACAATACAGAGCCTTCCTATGAGAATACAGATCCAATATCTGGATTTTACCGTATCTTTACCATACAAGAAAACGCAAGAGCTTAAACAACTGATTCGGAGTATAACAGAGCCCAGCCTCGAAAATATTGACAGACCAGACACGAATCAAAGCACGAAAAAACACCGATTTCACCGTAGGAAAACCATGATCGATGACGTACGATACATCTCAAAACATAAACAACGAAGGATCGAGGAACAGGGCGACGAACAATCTTCAGAAGAAACCATACGAGAGAATCATTCAAGAACACACAAACAGAATCACACTACGCAAGAAACCGCCGATCACATGAGCAACTGCGCCGAAATTTCTAGTGGAAATCACGATCATACCTCGAAATAAGAAGAGAGATTTATCGCGGAGATTTCGACGAAATTTGTTGAGGTGATCACTGCAACGATGCCTTGAGCATTATCCGATGAGAAGCAAATGCGTAGCAGCTGCCAATTTTATGATGTGGTAACCGCCTCAAGGAATCTGAAGCCAATAAGATGATGCCACGTCCAATGAAGGAGGTCACGCTGACGTCACAGCGTTTTAGAGGTCTAGTTTCGAGTATTACGGTTACTGTATCGTATCGCGTAGAATTAGCATGGAAATGAATTTTAGTCGTGGAATATATGAACAATATTTTTTTTTATCATTTTAAAATTCTAAATATAAAATGTGTATTATTAATTCCATTTGATGGGTAATTTTACTATAAAAATGTATAAAAAGAATATCATTGCATCTTTTCATTAGTTATCTTATAATATATCTTCGTTGTTCCGATTGATTGGTAATATAATCATAAAATGTATTTAAAATTTCATTGTCCTTTTTATCTATAATATATATTTTTATGACTAGTCGTATAAAATCGTTCATCTAAATACAACAAAATAGAAAGAAAAAAAAAAGACTTTTAGAGACAAATATTTTTTTCTTCTGCAGCAGGAGATTGCAGCCAAGACTTTATCATATCATAAGCCGTAAATCCGAGTGCTGTAGAAGGAATCACCTGCAATTAACAATTAGTATTTAAAACACTATACAGTCACCAATCATATTTAGAAAATAAAAAAATTAATAACAATGATAATGATGATGATGATGATGATGATGATTATGATGATGATGATGATGATGATGATACCTTGAGAAAATTGATGCTTAGACCTGCGTAGAGCTGTCTCCATCCTTGTTCTCGGATGATAGAAACCAATCCTTCCATGGAATTCTTGTACCGCAAGTTACCCGAATGCAGAATCTCCACCTGAAAAATATTGTACACGTTTTTGTCACTCTAAATAAATTTATATTCAAAATAATCTTATTATAAACTTCAACACAAATTCCATATATATATATATTATTGGACTGACCTGCATTTGTCTTCTGATAACATCCAAAGGGTACGTGCAAGTCTGAGCAAACAAACCGGCAAGAGCTCCACAGGAAAGCCTCACGGCTATATCGTACTCATGCTCTTTAGGAACTCGCCTCTTTAGTTCCTCGTACATGTAGAATTTTAGACCCGCGTAAGGTAATATTCCCACCATTGTCGGGCCTATATAAAAGGTTATTATAACTTTGCATGAATACGTCTTATATGTTATATACGAACGTGAAAACATGTTTGTATATACGTACATACGTTACTATACGACAATATATAAAACATTAGGTCAAAACCTTTTATAATACCTATGCCACGGTATATGCCACGAACTCCGCCTTGTCTGTATGCATTCTTGAGAACGTCTTGTATAGTGCTCGAATACGTAGTTCTAGACGCGTAGAGAGGGTTTTGTTTGTATGCATCTACCTATAATGATTATAAGATGATAATTAATCATAATAATTTAAAAAGATAATGCAGTTTTGCTTTAGTAAAAATTATAATCGTATTAGGAATATAATTTCGGGATACAGTGGTATAATAGTAACATTTTTGACCTGATAGGCGAGCTTGGTCCGGGCTAGGTCGAGGGGATACGTGCACAAAACCGCGGTTCCTCCGGCTGCAGAGCCGGATAAGAGATCGACGACGGGACCTGACCCTAATCTTGGCATGGTATCGATGAACCAATCACGATACGTCTCGTACGTCAAGTACTGGAAACCTGAATATGGGATTACCCGGATGACATTCAAGCCATTTCCTCTTTTTACGCACGAAAAATAGATGCATGGATCAATAAACATTTCGAACGAAACAAAACGAACCGAAATACCATACGGATGTGAAAATATCTTACTTGTATAACCCTAGAAAACCTTCGTGTTTCATTATCTTTTGTAACGCAGGGAAAACTCCGATTGCATGGAACCCTTCGGTTCTAGTCTGTTCATGAAAATTTTCGAACCGAGTTTGAGTTTACATCAAGTAGATTTCATATATATATATACTTTGAATTGTATATGTATATTCATTAGAGAATTAGAATCGAGGAATCGTTACTTGCAAAAGAATCTTGATCCTTTCGAGGGGAGCGACCGATGTTTTCGCGATGGCACCGGTCGCGCCGCCGGCAAAGAGCTCATTCACGTACATCGGGATGCATTTGGAATCTTTAATGTTGTGGTCTGAATCTCGATTGTTTCCGACAATGTTTCCTATTGTTTTGGAAGGGTTCATCTTTTGAAAGTTGAAACCTTGAAGAATCCTGAGATGTGGGCCCCAAGAAATGAGTTTTAGAAATGGTGGATTGAGTTGTTGTTATTTTCTGAAATTGTCCTCGACCAAATTTAGGGTAATGGCCTTTATTTGGTGTACCAATTCGTCTATATATGAACGTGTATTTATATATATGTGCATGTATCCATGAAATTGAATAGAAAAGAGCAATCTATATATTACCCTAAAAAGGGGGAATCGTCCAAAGATCAAGTTGAGATTTTTCACATAATTGTTTGCATTTTTTTAGAATTTTTTATTTATATTTTCAACTTTTTTCTGTGGTGAAATTGAATTTGGTTGTAATTTTATTTTATTTTTTTATTTTAATTAAATATAGACAATGAACAAAGCATTTGAAATTGAATATAAAAACTGTAACTGATTTTAGTGGATGTAAAGATTTATCAGAACATTAGAATTCGTTAAGTATAATATAAGTTTTTAGGATGTAATTATCGAATACCATGGGGTTTTGATTGATTGAGGTTTTAAACGGTTATATGTTTTATGAGATAAAATTATAAAATATATAAAGATATTTACCGTACACTAAATAAATAAATGATGAGAAAAAAACATAAATATTTTTAACAAAAAAAACATAAATATAAACAAATACATAAAAACGGTGAGCTCCGCCCACAGAAGCCGAAACTCTCCTCCTCCGTTTCATCGATGGCTCCGTTCTCTTCCTCTGGTGTAAGTCTCTCTCTTGAATTGGGCTTTTGATGTTGTTACATCTGCCTCGTTTCCATTGGAATCGGTGCTTGAATTGGTGTCTCTGTGTTTATAGATCGTGTAATTTGCGTGTTCTGTGGTTGGTGGGCGAGAAAATTTGGGGAAAATGTGATTCTGTTGTTCATGTGTTCAGATCTGGAGGAATCTTGTTCATTTTTCTTCTGTTCCTAAAACCAGGTTCCAATCTCCTGAGATCGCCGTTTTCTATTTCTTGTCGAGTAGTGTAGGATATCAGAGGTTTAAGAAATCGATCCTGATCTTGTTTGTCCGGGGGTATGATTTGGTTTTGTTATGTTGTTAGGAAAATTTAGTTCTAGCCATGTATAGTTTAATCAGTTGCTCTTCATGTTTGATCTGGCGACTGAGAAGAATTTGGATAGTTCACTAGATCTTGTCTTCTGATTCACTGAATCACTGTTTATCTCTTCCTTGATTATTTCTTCATATACTGGATTAGAATACTGTCATTGGGACTCCGATCCATCTATCATAGCAGTCTCTTTGTTCTGTAAATCCGTGTTTCTAATCTCTGATTGATAGTTAAAGTGAACCCGACTAGAGATGTCGGGTTATATATTTTTTGTGCGAAATGCTTTTAGTGTGTGTTTATGTAGTTCAAGTACATTGATTGACAGAACCTTTGATCCGGCTTTAGATGCTGGCAGCTGATTTCGCTTCAATGCTTAGCTGGGCAGATACAATAACAATCTGCTTAGCTGATGTTCAGCTGTGGAATGAATTTGTAGAAAAGATTGGCGGTATCTCCCAAGATTTTTTTCTGCTTGGTTTCCATTGAAATTTGATCTTTTGTGGTCCTTTCTGGGTTACCCGTATTACATCTCTCCTAATATTCCGGTTGTTGTCTATTTGTTTTGTATTGAACAGGATTTGTGCCCAATGGTAAAGAGCATTCTTCTGCTAGACTCTGAAGGAAAGCGTGTGGCTGTCAAGTATTACTCAGATGATTGGACGACTAATGCTGCTAAGTTAGCTTTTGAAAAATCTGTATTCTCGAAGACCTCTAAGACTAATGCTCGCACAGAAGGTAAGACCGTACTGAAACCCAACAGCTCGTAATTGATGTATATATTTACTTTGCATGTGTGCGAGTGCGATGAGCGAGAAAACTTTATTTTTCCTGTTCATATTTTGACTGTATCTTAGCTTAGCATGAATTTGTAATTGTGAATCTTGTCTTGTTGAAATCACCCCTTGATGTGTATTAAAGTTTGGCTTTTTTTTTTGTTACCACGTGCAGCGGAAATCTCACTGTTGGACAATAATATTGTCGTCTACAAGTTTGCCCAGGACCTACATTTCTTTGTAACTGGGGGTGAAAATGAAAATGAGCTCATCTTGTCTTCTGTTCTTCAAGGATTTTTTGATGCTGTTGCACTTGTTTTGAGGTATTTCTCTCCATAGCTCAAGTCAGCTTGTGACTCTATGCATGATTCTCGGTCATAGATCTCTGTAATCAACATGTATCATCATCTTTCTCTCTCTTGCTTTCAGAAACAATGTGGACAAGATGGAAGCACTTGAGAATTTAGATCTCATCTTTTTGTGTCTTGACGAGATGGTCGATCAGGGGTAAGCTTGGGCATGCTTTAATTTCAATGTTACTTCTGTGGATAGATATGTGATGTTTGTGATTCTGGATGAAATTTCCTGATTACAATTAATTAGGCGAGACTGACTCATTAGACAGAAGGTGGGATCATCTGGAGAGAGTTTTAGACTGATAGAAACGATGCACAGAAAACCGGCTAAATTTTGTTCAGCATCCCTCAGTTAGATGGTGTATGAACTATAAACAACTTATTTGCCCATAGATTTCTTCAATCATGAGTCAAAATACATATTCTCACAGGGTTCTGTTAACATTTTTCATTTCCCGATTTTTTTTTGCTTGTGGTGTGGTGTATCAGGATGATTCTTGAGACAGACCCCAATGTGATTGCTGGAAAGGTGGCAATGCATAGCGCAGAATCCGGCGGCTCACTGTCCGAACAGGTAAACAGCGCAATTCTTCAACTTCCTCATGAGGAAAACAATAGTTCAATACTGCCATTTACAATCTCAATCCGTCTCTTCTCACGAACTGCAGACGTTAACTCAAGCGCTCGCAACTGCTCGGGAGCACCTTGCGAGAAGCCTTCTTACATGATTTTTCATCATGTCGACCGAGGAAACACCGGTACGATAATAAACTTTCCGCGCAGAATTAGCATTTGTGAGTGAAGTGGGTGGGAACTTTGTTTGAAACTGAACCAATAGTGTGTGTCATAGAGCAGAGTTTTGCATCATTCCCTCCATAGCAAAGAAACAGATATGATTAGAGCATTCATTATACATTATGGTTGCTTTGTTTCCCTGACAGGAGTTGAGAGGAACTCGCCTGCCTCTTCTTCAACCTTGTGGTAAGAACCCTTTGTATTTTATTTGGATCACTTTCGTATTATGAGGAGACGAAAAAAAAAAACATATATATATATCCAAGTTTCCAATTAATTTCTCTTAAGAATCTGCTCAGAAAGCTTGTTATTGTTTTTTTATTTCCCTTGGGGTATTATTTGGATAGAGAATCCGAATTATATTTGCTGTAAAAGTGAATGTGGTTTAAACAAAGTCAACGAAATCACGTTAACCCTCTTTTCAACTCTCCTTTGGAAAACGGGGAAAAGGGGAAAAATCGAAGAGGGAATGGACTTTGACTTCGGCCATATCGAAGCTGATTCGTCCCACGTTAAGCTATGTCATCGTGTAGCAATTACTGGTTCTCTTTTTTTTTTTTTTTTTTTTTTTTACCATTTTTATTTTTTTTTTTTTTTTTTTTTTTTTTTACCAATCTTAGTATTTTTAGTTTTTTATTATTTATATTCATCTTTCTCTTTGTCACGTCGACATTAGAACCCGTCACACGTATATGAGATTAAATTTCAATGTCTTTTTCAATATACTCGGAAGTATGTATTCATCTATTTGATATATGAATGTATGCGTATGTATAGACATATAATATCAAATTCTACAAATAATTTAGCGCCAAAGTTTGTTTCTTTGTTTCAATCGTGAATAATGGCGCATTCATTTACTCCCCGGACCGGCGTTGGGCAACTCGCCGACTGAACCACGTTGCCATAGCGGTCGGAGGCCTCTATGTGGGCCCAGCGTTTCTTGATGTTTTAATCTTGACCGTCCAATTGTTGGATCCCACTAGGATCCTTCTGGTCAATTGTTGAATTCAAATTGGGCCTGATTTCTGTTTAATGGAAAAAACTGAGTTAATGTGGAATACCGAAAATACCCTTCTACTATGCCATTTTTCTTTTTGGTGAAAATGCCGACTCTTAAATAAGGGGGTTTGGCTTCTTATTCCGTCATTTCTCCCTCTCTCCCCCTCTCTCCCTCCTTCAATGGCGATTGAATCTATCTGGGTTTTTCCTTCGCCATCTTCCGGTTCTTGGAGCTTCTTGCGTTCCTCATCTCTTGATTTCTGTTTTTCCGTACTGATTTCTACGTTTACCCACCCAGTGAACCCAAAGCCAGAAACCCTAGTTTCTCTTCATTTGCATGCTTGGTGCTGATTCCACGCGTGAAGGTCTGGTTTTGTAGAAAATGTTGCATCTTTCCTGTTTTTCTTTGAAGGTCTGTAACATTTTTCTGAAACTCTGTACAGGTGCGATCAAGAGATATACTCAGCCGAAGCCCACATTAGTCTTCTCTTATGTTCTTCCGGTTCTTGGAGTTTCTCGCGACTCCGTTCCTCATCTCTTGATTTCTGTTTCTCGATACCGATTTCTACGTTTACTCACCCAGTGAACCCAAAGCCAGAAACCTTAGTTTCTCTTCAGTTGCATGCTTGGTGCTGATTCCACGCGTGAAGGTCTGGTTTTGTAGAAAAGGTTGCATCTTTCCTGTTTTTCTTTGAAGGCCTGTAACATTTTCTGGAACTCTATACAGGTGCGATCAAGAGATATACTCAGCCGAAGCCCACGTTAGTCTTCTTTTCTGTTCTTCCGGTTCTTGGAGTTTCTCGCGACTCCGTTCCTCATCTCTTGATTTCTGTTTCTCGGTACCGATTTCTACGTTTACTCACCCAGTGAACCCAAAGCCAGAAACCCTAGTTTCTCTTCAGTTGCATGCTTGGTGCTGATTCCATGCGTGAAGGTCTAGTTTTGTAGAAAAGGTTGCATCTTTCCTGTTTTTCTTTGAAGGCCTGTAACATTTTCTGGAAACTCTGTACAGGTGCGATCAAGAGACATACTTAGCCGAAGCCCACATTAGTCTTCTCTTCTGTTCTTACCAAATCAATCTCTCCCTCTCGCATGCTTACGAGGATGGTAATCTTTTCTGAAATTTCCAACTTATTATCTTTGTGATGAAGCGTATTAAGTTCTTGTGCTTAAAATATTCATTGAGTTCTTTCTTTCTTTTTAAGGTAGGTATTGTTCCGGTGGAACTACTGAATGGTAAAAACGAAGTACCTGAAGCCAAGAACGCCACGGGGTGGAACCCTATGGGAACCTGTATGTTCTTGAAAAGCAAAGATTCATACCTCGTAAGTGCTCTTCCCTGTTTGAATTTCTGCTTGAATAGGAACATTATATGTATATATTAATTTGCAAAAGATGTCTGATATGGGATTTTTCTGGACTTTATCGTGCATCTGATGCAAAAAACTGTCTAAAGTCTTAATATGTTCCAAATCGTGATGAAAAAGTTGCTAAATCTCATATGAGAAAAAATCCAGAGGGTCTGTTATATTGGGAATAACGGCTAAATAGACCCGGAATGAGAACTCTTTCTGTTCACATGTCCCGAAACATAATACAAAAACCTGCATTCTCAAATGAGATGCAAATACAGGGTTCTGTTGATAATAATGGTTAAACAGACCCTGGAGTGGGAACATATCTGTTACACATGTCCCGAAACATAACCAAAAAAATCTGTATTCTCAGATGAGATGCAAATACAGGGTTCTGTTGGGAATAATGGCTAGATAGACCCTGGGGTGGGAACACTATCTGTTACACATGTCCCGAAACATAACTAAAAAAAATCTGCATCCTCAAATGAGATGCAAATACAGGGTTCTGTTGGGAATAATGGCTAAACAGACCCTGGAGTGGGAACGCTATCTGCTACACATGTCCCGAAACATAACTAAAAAAATCTGCATTCTCAAATGAGATGTAAATACATGGTTCTGTTGGGAATAATGGCTAAACAGACCATGAAGTGGGAACACTATCTATTACACATGCCCCGAAACATAACTAAAAAATCTGCATTCTCAAATGAGATGCAAATACAGGGTTCTGTTGGGAATAATGGCTAAACAGACCCTGGAGTGGGAACGTATCTGTTACACATGTCCCGAAACATAACTAAAAAAATCTGCATTCTCAAATACGATGCAAATACAGGGTTCCGTTGGGAATAATGGCTAGACAGACCTTGGGGTGGGAACACTATCTGTTACACATGCCCCGAAACATAACTAAAAAATCTGCATTCTCAAATGAGATGCAAATACAGGGTTCTGTTGGGAATAATGGCTAGATAGACCCTGGGGTGGGAACACTATCTATTACACATGTCCCGAAACATAACTAAAAAAATCTGAATTCTGAAATAAGATGCTAATACAGGGTTCTGTTGGGAATAATGGCTAGACAGACCCTGGGGTCGGAACGCTATCTGTTACACATGTCCCGAAACATAACCAAAAAAATTTGCATTCTGAAATGAGATGCAAATATAGGGTTCTGTTGGGAATAATGGCTATGCAGACCCTGGGGTGGGAACACTATATGTTATACATGTCCCGAAACATAACTAAAAAAATCTGCATTCTCAAATGAGATGCAAATACAGGGTTCTGTTGGGAATAATGGCTAGACTGACCCTGGAGTGGGAACGCTATCTGTGACATGTCATGAAACATAACTAAAAAAGTCAGCATTCTGAAACGAGATGCAAATAAAAAACCTGTTGGGAATAATGTCTAAACAGACCTTGGAGTGAGAACACTATCTGTTACATGTCCTGAACATAACTACAAAATCTGCATCTCAAATAAGATGCAAATACAGGGTTCTGTTCGGAATAATGACTAAACATACCCTGTTGTGGGAATGCTATCTGTGACATGTCATGAAACTTAACTAAAAAAGTCAGCATTCTCAAACGAGATGCAAATAAAAAACCTGTTGGGAATAATGTCTAAACAGACCTTGGAGTGAGAACACTATCTGTTACATGTCCCGAACATAACTAAAAAATCTGCATCTCAAATGAGATGCAAATACAGGGTTCTGTTTGGAATAACGGCTAAACAGACCCTGTAGTAGGAATGCTATCTGTTACATGTCTCGAAACATAACTAAAAAAATCTGTATTCTCAAATGAGATGCAAATACAGGGTTCTGTTAGGAATATTGGCGAAACAGACTCTGGAGTGGGAACGCTATCTGTTACATGTCCCGAAACATAACTAAAAAAACTTCATTCTCAAGTGAGATGCAAGATGATGGTCTGTTCTATTAGGAATAATAGCTAAGCATATATTGGAGTGAGAACACTATCTGTTACATGTCGCGAAACAAAATTTAAAAAATCTGCATTTTCAAATGAGATGCAAATACAGGGTTTTGTTGGGAATAATGGCTAAACAGACCTGGAGTGGGAACACTATCTGTTATGTATCTCGAAATATAATAAAAAAAATCTGTCTTCTCAAATGAGATGTAAATACTGAGTTCTATTGGGAATAATGACTAAACAGACTTTTGAGTGGGATAAATGCGGTGGGCTTTTTCTATGGGGAATGATGACTAAAGATACCCTGAAATGGGAATGCTATCTGTTAGATGCCACGAAACAACAAAAGATCTGCATTTTCAAATGCAATGCAAAATAGAGGATCTGTTATAATGGAATTATTGGCTGAACAAACCTTGGAATGAGAATGCTATCTGTTACATGTCTCGAAATGTAATGCGAAGTTTCGAAATAATGGTTAAAGAGACCTTAAAATGATAAACTATCTGTTACATGTCTCGAAACATAATGAAAATCATGTATTCTCAGATGAGATGTAAATACAGGGTTCTATTGGGAATGATGGCTTAACAGACACTAGAATGGGATCTGTTAAATGTTCCGAAACATAATGCAAAAGTATGCATTCTCAAATGAGATGGTCTGTTCTATTGGAAATAATGGCTAAACAGATACTGAAATGGAAATGCTATCTGTTTACATGTCACGAAATATAACGCAAAAATCTGCATTCGCACGTGAGATGCAAACAGATGGTATGTTCTATTAGGAATGATAAGTTAAACAGACATCGGAACACTATCTGTTACATGTCCCGAAACTTAAAAAAATATGCATTTTCAAACAGATGGTCTGTTCTTTTTTATTTTTATTTTCTGTTGGGAATAATGACTAAACAGACCTGAAGTGGGAACGCTATCTGTCACATGTCCCGAAACATAACTAAAAAAATTTGCATTCTCAAATGAGATGCAAATACATGGTTCTGTTGGGAATAATGGCTAAACAGCCCTGGAGTGGGAATGCTATCTGTTACATTTCACGAAACATAATTAAAAAATTCTGCATTCTCAAATGAAATG